TGTGTGTGTGTGGTAACAGTCAGGGAAAATAAATACTGGGGGGGGGGCGGTCATAATGGCCAAACAGAGCGCAGTTCAGTTCAGTTTAAGGCTTATGCGAATTACAACTGAGTATTAACAGGAGGGTGCAGTATGATGACGGACACGCAATTAGGCGAGCTAAAAGGTCTGCATTAAGAGGGATGCATTAGAAAGCCTGGGCTGTATCTGAACAGACTACAGGACTGTTTAATTAGGGTTTGGACAGAAGGTAATATTATTCACTTGATGAAGCAGCCTGTAATGTGTGGAAACAGTGCAGCTGCTGTGAGTACACAAAGACAGCACTCTTATGGCCTTTTTTCTGTAGGCAAGGCAAGGTGGCAAAATGGTCAGCCAGCACAGTTTGAAGCACATACAGTCGATTTCTGTGCATGGTGGAGATAAGCTATGAGTCTTGGGTTTTCCAAAATGGAAAGCTAGGTGCCCCAGAGCCCTTACTTGCCATGATGAAACAAACCCCTTTGTTGTGAGAGCAATTCGGAGACAGATCCATTCTTTTATTTTGGGCACTGACAAGTAGGTCAGAGGAGACTATGACAGTGCTGTGGTGAGGAGTAAACAGCAGCACATGATGTTGTTTTCCTCCGTGTCCTGGCATCCAACACCAGCAGCAATCCTCCTGCCCTCAGGAAGTCCTCACATACCCCCTACCCCCTTCCCTTCTCACAGTTCAACCCACCCCTAACCCTCTCCACCAAACCCCCTGCTCTCTTTGATCTCTAACTTCAGCAACACAGGGCCATTAACCTCTGACATATAAAAGTGGCTAAAGACTTTCACTGTAAACTAGTCTTGCGGCCAAATCAGCCAAATTGCCACAGAGTAAGGTCTCCCAAGAGCAGAATTATTTCCCCTCTGGAGAAGAGGTGGACGGCAGTGCTGCAGCTGCTGAGGTCTGACAAGTGTTAATCTGCTAAGGGGAAACTCATTTGGCTAACTGGTTATGCCACATGGCAAATTAAAGCAGAAGCTGCACGCTCGGCACTGTGTCTCTATCTTTTTTTGTTTTGTTTTGGTGGTTTTTTTTTAGAAGAACAAGAAATAAAAACCAGGTGATTTGGAAAATGCGAGTCTCTGCAGTGATTTGGAAAATTTCCTTGCATAACCTCGGCACAACTGATTGAATTACCTGTAGCTCATGACGAATGCCACAATAAGAGTCAGTAAAAAGGGTCATGCGTCACAGCGGACCAAGCTGAGATCATGACAAAATAAGAGAGTAATGCCCTCCTGCACCCTGCTCTGGATACAGTGCCAAGCTGAAACCGAGCTCTGGATGTTTACAACTCAGGGAGATGAGGGTAGAAACTTCTGGGCATCGTTAACACCCCTCCATGTCCACATCCATTAACTATTCATACTGTGTGTGCCACCTGGAGTTACAGTTACGTGCCAGTGCTCCTGAGAGGGTTATCACCTTTCTCTGACAGTAGCAGAAAAGGTGTGGATTCGGACACTGTCAGGGATACATGTATGTGCCATCTGACAACAAAACTGTTGGGCAATAAACTCGAATTTAGGCAGATGGAAAAAATGATGCATTCATTACAGACAACCGATAAACCTTTTAGAAATGTCTTAATCAAACAGAAAAATACCAACTTACTAAGAAAAGTACTGCACTTAGACAACATCTGGTTTATCTCTCGCTTGATTTTTAGTGCATTTTATTTAATCAGTTGGACACTTGTGTTGTTTGTCATTTTTATCTCCTCCTTTTTCCTTTTTTCCCCCCTCTGTGAGGCACTTTCTAACGTTGATAACGACTTCAGCTCCCCGGGCATGTTTTTCCAAACTACGAGAGTCCAGATTGCAAATCACCATCCAGGTTTGTGCAGCCAGTCAGCCAGAAATATAACTATTTAAAAAAATACTTTGACTCATCTTGGTGCCAAATGTTAATGCCAGACACTTGCTGAACAAGAAGAGTATGTAATGCAAACATTTTGCCTGGTTTGAGATCACTGAAAAATCACAAAAAGGTGTCTGGCCTGCTGTTGAGTGTGTGGGCGTGAGGTAAATAATTTCACAGCCGCTGTCATGAGGGAGGTGAGGATAGTATGTCTGTGAAACTGTAATGCTGGTGCTGTAAAGCTACTGCTGTGGCAAAGTGGCATGCAGTGGGCCTGGATGCCAGGAGATATTAGTGGGTGATATGTGAGAGGGCCTCCCACCTCCCTGTTGATAAATTATGGAGCATCATGACAGGAACAGTTTAACCCAGCCAGCATGACAAGCCAGTTTAGACCATGATCACGAGTCCCGTAGTCACGGCTTACTCAACAGCTCAGTGCATGCTGTCCAGGTTAAACATTGTGTGTGTGTGCGTGCGTGCACGTTGAGAAAGCATGCACACATGTTTGTAAAGTACCTGTGTGTGTTTGCCTGTGGGCTTCCAGAGCGTCCTCTGAGGAGAATGTCGCTCCGCACTGATCACACACGAGCGCCTCTGCAGGAGCTGTAGACAAAATCAAATTCAAAAGAGTGTGTTTTGATCAGACCTGAACACAAACATGTGTTTGTAATTGCAGCCTAAGTCAGTTAATTTCACATTTAAAGAGGACTGTGGAGAAAAGCAACGAGAGGGGGGGGGGACAAAGAGATGCTGTTTGAAAAGTCAGCAAAGAGCCTTGTTTGTCACACACTTGTGCTTTTCAGGTGTTAACACAAGGAAGCAAACGCGCGGAGTACAATGGAGCAGTGGAAAGTGCCGTAAAAACACAACTGGGGACAAACAAAAGCACCAGACAGGGTGCAATGGTCCTTCTTCTCGAAAAAAGAAAAAGGAAAAAAAAGAGCAGAGCTGAAGAGTTTTATTTACCGTGCCCTGTTATCAGTCTCTGAACAGTGAGCAGACTGTATGCCTGAGAGGCCACAGAAGGACTGGGTGTTCTCTCTACAGCAGACGCTTCCTGCCTGCGGCACATCCCTTTATCAAAAAAAACACTTCAGAGTCAACACCCCGAATCCCACTGCATACACTGTAACTACAGTTCCCAGTTCACCTTTGGAATGCCCTTGTCTATTCTGATGAAGACATGAGAGAGACAAGTATGCACGCTGCCAGCAGAAACGTTCAATCCTTGTTCTGCACTCACCTCACACCTGCACAGACAGACAAATAAGACAGATATGCACATACGCACACGCGCACACGCTCGCTCTTTCTCTTTCTCTCACACACAGCTGTTTGGATGTGGGTTGGCTCTCACAGAGATGTAAATCGGTTGCAGATCCATACTGGCCCAGGGCTCATTCACTGATCTATTTTCTGCTCAGCTGGCTTTAAATGAAGTTAAAATGACTCATTAAAACACCCACAAGCTTTGGGAACTCTGAGCGCTACAGCCTAAATGTGGTCCTCTTTCAACTCTTACGATGCCACTATACAGAGACACTCTGCCACTGTTCCCAGTGCTGCACACAAATACCAAAAAAAAAAAAACAACAAAAAAAAGAGAGAGAGCCCCAATCTGTTCATTTCTAAAAACAACAATTTTTGAAAACAAACTGTTACTGTTTTGGAATAGTGCGTTTTGTTACACGGCGTAAAAATAAAACTTGCTTGAGAGTAGTGTTGTTTAGTAGTAACACTAAAGCAGAATTTGCGATCCTGATGTTGTGTGACGCTGTCCAGTGTGGTGTGTTGTGTTGTGTGAGATTGTGTGATAAGGGAAGAAGAGAACATAGTGCATTGTCTTGTGCAGTCAAAGGCACGGAGTGTGCTCTCATCCATAAACCATCAAACTGTCTCCAGACGCGGCTGCAATCGTCCTCCATCAAAACACTTTGTCTGGCATACCAAAATAAGAGCCAGCATCGAGCTGAATACCAAATCAGCCCATTAGAGCAGTGGAGCACTCGCTCCTTAGCAACCAGCGGGATCTAAGGCTGCTATACCGAAATACACAGTGACAAAGAAATGAGATCCACATCTCTCTCTCTCTCTTTTTTTTTTCTGTAGTATTATAGGTTGACACATTGGGATGGGGAGAGTTTATGCAAAAAATTCAAATTAGGTTAAAGGTGCTGCTGTTACGGATGTCGCTGCGAATTGAAAATCAAAGCGCGTTGTGGTGGTCGGGGTAATGCAAGACAATATGTGTGTTTAGGGTTATCCAGAGGGTATAAAAGAGGAGGAACAGAAAAAGGGAGGGGGATCAGGTGAAGTTTAAAGAAGCAGATTCTTTCTCTCATCCGTCAGCAGGATGTCATTCCAAAACAATCCTCATAGAGAAGGCGGAGAGGACAGGGACTTTGCCTTGTCTGTACACATAATCCAACTGAGGTTTCTGTTTTAGTTTCATTTTTAGTCCCTGATCTCTACCCCCCCCCCCCCAAACTCCCCGCCCCTCCTCTCTCTCTATTTTGGATAAAGTAGCTGGGAGAGCAGTCAGGTCTGATTAAGTCTGCATTTGGGTACAGTGTGTTCTGGACACACATCTGCGAGCGAGCCATCACACACGCTTCGGAACACTGGCAGAACACCCAGGCCTGCCGGCAGCTGATGATGTCATCACTCAGAAGGGGCAGAGCTGGCGAGCTGCCAGAGTCTCCGAAAAAACACAGAAACGATTCAAACTGAGAGAGACTAGAGAGGGAGACGGAGAGAAGAGAGGGAGGGAGACGCGCATAGACCTAAGCATGGAAAAGAAAGCATGATCCAAGTATTCGGAGCAGCACTAACCGGCACGGGGAGGGGTGGAGGGGGGGTCGTAGCATGAACAGGTGCATTTGAAAAGCTGCACTACTGTATCAAGAGGGTTGATCAGCTCTGAATGCTCTGAGATGAGAGTGTGAGAGTTACTAAGTACCTGTGTGAGACAGCATGTGCATCCTGAGCCGCATGCTGTCCTGGAAGTGTTTGCCACAGTATTCACAGCCATTGCCCTTCTCCTCATTATGGAGCCTCCTGTGGAAAGACAAACACTAATGTGAGCGTGTTAACGGATTCAAGAAACGGAGCGAGACTGCACTTTTGATAAAGCAAAAAAGCCGCAGATTCGAGACACTTTTATTAAGGTCTCCCAAACCTAGAAGCATCATTGTAACAAGAGGAGCATGTTTTAATTCCGGCAAGAATCCCTCGCTGAATGCGGCATCATTAGCGTAAGAGGCCCTTGGAGTTGTGAATCACAACGCATGAACGCTAAAAGAACACAGACAATAGGATATCTGGCTAATTTCAGAGCGCAAACATACGCGTGCCTCCACCCGCCAGCACTGCAAGACACTGGGCACACACGCAAACCCACTCAGACTAGCGCGCGCACACACACAGACAGCACATGCACGCAAACTCGCATCCCGACATAATATGCACACGCATACACTCCTCCTGTAACTGCAATGAAAAGGAGAAAAGAAGATGATTCGCTGAAGCTCCGCCGGCAGCAAAACCTATCATATCATATCACACACATCCAAGCATGCAAGGCATCTGTACTGTTATCCTTGGATCACCCCGCCAACAGCAGAGCAAATGGCCTAAAAAATCTGTGGTTAAACACACACTGTGGTCATAATAAATGAGACTTAAGATGTCATTTAATTGAGATGAAATCAACATTAACGCCGTCGGGAACAAAAAGGAATCCTTTTAGAGCTGCAGGCCCAGTTTCAAATTTGACCAGCTTCTGTTCATACTAGATTCTTATACTATACTAGATTAGGTTTTATTTAGGCCATCCTGGTGGTCAAGCAGTCTGCGATATATGCAGTTATGTTACAATCTTTGATTTTTGGCAGATGCTTCCTAATATTTGTTAATATGCTTAAAAAAGATGTTTGAGGTAGTTTAGAAATAGTGTCCAATACGATTGCTTACAGCGAGGTCTGCAGCACATGTTGCAGAGTAGCATCAGTGGTTTTCATATTAAATAGAGAGAAGTACATTACTAGAAAAATATTTCCCTATTCAATATAACTGGCATTCTGCATTTATAATAAGAAGCATAATATTACTATTAAGTTCCAATCGCATTTGAAACTAACTTAAACTAACTTCACTCACCGTGCATCAATATGTAGCTGACATTTTTGTCATTTAGTTGCATAGATGACCCCTTAATTACAGAGGTGGGTAATTAATTTTCCCAAGGGGCCACACGAGAATCTCTTTAAAAGCTTATTGGCGTGGCCTTCCACAGCAGTCCCATTTTTCTGTGTGGCTCCCGCACGTCTGCATATGCCAATCATCAGCGTTCTGCATTCCCACTGGTCGTCACTTTAATCACTCGCTTCAAAGCTGAACTCACTTTAGCTTGGCACCCGCCCACTTCGCATCACTATTAGCTTTTTCAGCTGTCACTGCTACGAGTCACTGACTGGTCTCTTCCTTTGTTTGACACTGTTTGAAATACTTGGAAGACCAAAAAAATTTGATTTTGTGACTTTTTAGTTTATTCGTTGTTATGTTTTAAATCATACCATATATGGTTAAATGTCAATATCAGCTTCTGCCCTAAAAGAATAATTAACTGTTGGGCTCCAAATGCAATGAAAGGGGTGGACTTTGTGTCCTGCTGGTCTGGGAGTGGGGACGGGGGTTAAAGGCACTGACCGTGTAATCATAATGTTTTAAAGTCGGAGTCCAGCTGCGAACAACTGTTGCGTTTGATTTTGAATTCATTCCACGTCTTCCTGCCCTCATTTCACTGTCATTGAAACAAAACCGATAAATTATTTGAAGTTAATTAATTTTGGAATATTGAAAAGAGGAGCTGTCCTCAAACATGCAAAACAGGCTTTTAATTTGATTTTAGCGGCTGTTTAGTAACCTTGAAAAGTTAGTGGAACACTGAACTGTTCATTTTATAATTTCAGCCTAAAGGCTGCTGATTTTTTTTTTAATGGTATATATTTCCCAATTTCTTATTTTAATCATTCAAACCAAATGGATTTCTTTTTCTGAAGTGTTTCATACTAAAACTGTGCCAGGAGATGCCTCCTGAACAACACCAGAAAATGTCAATCTGCAGGCCAGGTGTATGCTCAGTGACCTGGTTACAGACCTACAGCAACTTCATTACATCCTCAAGCAGTGCCACCACCGCAGCTCCTTGAACCTGCGGACATGAGCCTGTCTCCGTGAGTAAGCTGTGCGCATCACTAAATATCCCACAGGATGCATTGTTTCAACAGAGTTCTGGAGTGAGGCTGAAATGTCAGCCACAGGCATGAACAGGGAAACACTGCGATCCTAATCATGGGTTAGCTGCACATTAGGACTGCAAACTGTCTTGTTTCTACCGACTGATGATGAGTCAAACGCTGACGAGCTCGCACAATTGGAAACATCTGCAATCAAGTTAATGAGAGCTGTCATCGATCTGGTTAATTTTTTGTGTACAATGACAAAAGGACAAGCTAATAAGTAGGGTAAAAATAAACAAGAACAATAAAAAAACAACAACAACAAAACAACAGAGCCGAGTCGTGAAGCAGAAGTTATCCATCATGTTGCTGAAGCGTCCAGCCCGGCCCCTGCTGAGAGGATCCTGTCTGCTGATGCAAAGGAATGCATATCAAATAGCCTGGGAGACAGACTGTTGTGTGAAGCGCACTTCTGCACAGATAATCAAACAGAATTTAGAAAATGAGGCTTTGTAAATGACAGCATTTTGCGACACCAAGGCCTCTTTATATCAAACCCCTCACAGAGACCCGATTCAAAAGTTGCCGACACGTCTCACTGTTAAGACACGAGTGCAGGTGTCCCTGAGAATAAATGAACAAATTCTCAGATGCTGTTTCAAGCTTTTGACTCGCATTATATTCACTGAGAGAGGGGGAAAATCTCGAAGACGTAGAAAAGGTTAAATTTAAGAGACACGTGTCTAGCATAATCATTCATTATCACAATAAGCACAGATCCACCTGCACGCCCGTCTCCTCCATCTTTTATTAAAGGTAACGCACGACTGTCAGTGAAAATGTTGAGCCGCAGGAGAGTGTAGCAGTGTTTCTTCAGCACAAAATACAACAAAATATTTTGTGATTATTAGCTATTGAGCCTGGCGTTTTTAAAGTATATTATTTCATTTTGCATTAGTTAAAACAAGCCAGATTAAAAATAAACAGCACAAATTAGTGTTAATGGTTGTTTTGTGCATGTTACCTGTGCTGCTCCGCAGCCTGCCGGCTGTGCAGCTGGAGCCCACATTCGCCACAACACTGCTGGCCTTGAGCTGGGGCCTCGTGCCTCATCCCTGCTGCAAACTGGCCAAGCCTGCTCAGGAGCTCCCTGTGCAGCAACCCTTGGTGCAGCAGGCCACTGTAGGTTCTCGGGTCTAGTGGCACACCCAGGGTTGGGGCCACAGAAACAGACACTGGCATGCCCTCCCCTGTGTGGTTGGATGGCACAGAGTATATGGAGGCCAGGTGTTTCTCAGAGATCCCGGGAAAACAGTCAAGAGTGTTTCCTGCCATTTGTCCTCCATCCTCGGGGCCTGTGTGCAGCTCTCGAGCACTGGTGATGACGCTACCTCTCAGGGGCGTCCCCGGGCCTTCGTCTCTAGGCTGGTCTGAGATGCAGCTTCCCTCCCCTGCACTGGAGGATCTGCCCTCATAGCTGTTGGCATCATCCACCTGCATGCGCTCTAATTTTATACTTCTGGGAGGTTCGTGGGATGAATCCTGGGCTATCTCTACACCGCTATGCTGAGCCTTCTGGGAGTTCTCCATGTCTACCACTGTGTCCTGCTTGGGGCTCGATTCAGGAGCTGCCTCAGGCTCTGGGCCAGGAGAGCTCCTCTCAGTCATGTGGTACAGTGCCAGGTGGTGTAGAGCTGTGGGACTGGTGTGGTTGGGTCCATCCTGTATGGAATGCTTCTTGGACATCAGCATTTGCCTCCAGTGCCTGGCCCGGCCATGGTCACTGTGATCTCCGGAGCTGTGATTCCTGACCGCCACTTCCTCGCTCTCCTCTGCCTGGATGGTCTCCAGCACCTTCAGGCACTGCTCCTCCAGGTACTCGATCTCCAGAATCTCAGCAGCATACAGCAAGTCGTCCAAGTCCTCAGCTGTGGCCTGGAGCGAGGCGGTGTAGGCGTACTCTAGGATCTGCTGGAAAGTCTTGGGGGACAGGAAGTCCAGGGCGTAGCGCAGGCTGCTGCGGTGGAACAAGATCTCGAACATTTTGCTAGTGCAGGCCAGGACGGTGCGGTGCGCTGGAAACTCTTGGCCATCCACTGTGATAATGACATCACACAGGGTGCCGGTCAGACGCATCTGATTAGCCCGCTGCAGGAGCGTGCTGGAGTGAGTGGGATTGTGGAGTTGAAGAACACCCATGTTTGTCAGACCCCTATCCACTCGGACCTTTGCTGAGCCCACGCATGAGGTGTGGCTGTCCTGCCTGCTTTGCTTTCAGTTCGCTGTAGGTCTGCGTTTTGGGGTGGAGGAATGAAGATGGAAGACTGTTAGAGCCAATTTCACGTACAGTATGATGCAAAAGGCAGATGATTATACTCCAGGGAACACACCAGTCAAAAGCAACTTAAAATGATATTAATGAATATTATATAAAGTGAAAAGCAAACCCTCGACCCCCCTATGTGATTTCTTTAATTATTTTATTTGATGCACCCTACATGCATTTAAAAAATACCAAAGGGAGACAACAGGTCGATGAGCGCAAAGCAACAGTTTCCACTGCAGGTGATTAGTCTGAGGTTTCACTGAGAGCGGTCACGTCGCTGTAATAACGTCTGCATACTGAGAGGTGACGGTTCAATTTATCAAGCTCCTCACACATTCATCCATTCCTTCAACAGGTAGGCCTGCTATTAACAAAGCCCTTCAAGGGCTGATTAGTTCATTTAGGCGGCGCACGTTCATGATTAGATGTGTTACAATTAAGCGCTCTGCTTAAAAGAAAGAAAGAAAGAAAGAAAGAAAAGAAAAACCTGAGTAAGTTACCAAACTGGCAAAGCACGCAAATAAAGCGCAATCCGCGCATGCATGGATTTTTTTCTATACATCCAAACGGCTGAATGAGTGTCTGAATAATCCCTGTTTGATGTTTTGTGTAGTCGGACCACTCATCACCTCGAGTGATGCTGACGGGCTGCATCCTCAACTAACCGCAACATCAGAGCGCATCAGGTGCAGACGCACAAATCCACCTGATTATCCAAACACATTGCGACAAATTAAGCCTCCCTGCGCGCTTTTCATTTAAGGGGACGCGACGGGTTCGAAAATAAAAGACCCAATTTGTCTAAAATAGTCCAGAGTGCATCACAGTGGCGTGAACAGTGTGCGATACAGTCTGAGCTCATTCAAGTTTGGAAAATCCTAAAGCAGTGCGCGGACTAAACTTAAGTGGATTTCCACATGGTTGCTGCGAATCGAAATTATATCAAGGAGCCGCAAAGCTGACATTATTGTTCAGTGTTAATAATTAAGATGAGGAGGTCTCAAAAGTAGTTCATCGGAGCTGAATCACCTGACAGAAATCAACAGTGGAAAGAATAAAGAGTGGCGGCTGTCAGAGCTGTTCTTACCTCCGTCTCCTAATGTCCTCCGCTGATTATCCAGGCAGTATCATGCTTACACATTTCACAGTACCCGCTCCAAACTCAGTCCTGCTCCAAGTAAGCAAATCATCACCCAGCCACGACAGTCAAACCAGCAGGGGAAAGCGAGACTGCCGAGGAGAATTTTCAAAATAAAACGACGGCCTGAGCGATGTGATTAATAACTGTTGATCCAACTGACTGTTATTATCAGGTTAGAATTACAAACGTAGTGACTGTGTGGCGTTAATACATTGTTTCCAACATGCTGTAACTAACTCAAGAACTAAATTGTTTCCAGAACCAACACTATGATCACAATAAGAGGGGCAAAGTGATCGAAATGCGTGCAGAAAGCACTTAGTGTGAGTCAAAATCGTTATAACGATACTACAGTATTCACGTCTTTGTAGATCGTTGCAAAATGACACTCCTGGAAAAACGGCACTACATGAAGGAAATTATAAAGTTTAGTTAGATTTGATTATTCACAAATATTCTGTGCATTTTATTCACATAAATACTGACACACACATCAACATATTTTGATCAGTATTAAATGATGTAGCCTATTTTACACAAATTACTGGGTTTAACTCTAAGTCTTCACGTGGAAACAAAGGTAGACAGAGAGTAATGGTTACACTTATGTATTTTATGTAGATAATGCAAATATTTTGTAACAGACGTAGAGAATATCATTTTGTATTTGAAGACAAAGAAAGAATGCGATTCTTATGAGGCTTTGCTTCTTTTTCATTTTTGCCAGCTACAAGGTTACCCAACTTGTAAACCGGTGTACTTTAGTTTTTAGTATTTCAGTAAATGAAGTGGAAAAACTGGCCTGCAAATATGCTCTTGTGTTTAGGCCACTGAATCCGTTGCATCCTGGTGATTTAGTGCTTTAATATATGCAACATGTTTCCCCAGCGCTCCTAATTTGCATCTGACTGAGGAGTTTTGATTAAGTAATCCTTTACCATCCTTTTGTGCTTTTCCTGTGCATCTCTCTCTTTCAAAGGTAAAATATGAGACAATGATAGATGGGGGTAAAAAAAAAAAATCCATCCAATGCCTATTTAACTGTGTATGATTTTACCTTGGAAGTCTCAGAAATATCTACACTTCTATACATTTGAGCTGGAAATGCCATTCTATTTACGGCCCTGCATACCTCCTAATTTCCATATATTAACATATGATTTTATTCACCTGGACCAGCTGCAACTTTTAAATGGTCCTGCTGGTGGCTTATACAAATGCAGATGACGTAGATTACAGGTTAAATGAACTGAATTTTTATTGGCCAGCGGCACTGGGAATAATGTAAGTATGAAAGTATGTCAGCTTGTGGCATGAATAAAGAAATGGGTTACTTCAGACACGGTGAGAAGTAAACTGTATGTCTTTGTCGTACGCACAGCTTGATTAAAATAAGTTTGACAGCAGGTTGAGGTTTGGTCTCTCTAAAGGGCGCTCAACGTGATTTCCGTAACCCTGCATGAATATAATGAAATCTTTCTATAGAAAATAAATAAAAATCACTTTCGCACTGAGTACTTGCAGTTTTACTTTGAAGATCCCACCGTCTAACTTCCTGTCTCCACAAGGCTGCTAGTTGCTGACTTTACCGGCTGCAAATCATCGCCGGGCCGACGTCACGGCTCGGTGTGATCGCCCTCTGCTCCTCGGCTCTCCATCAAGGCTGCGGTCAGAAACATCTACAGCGTTTCAGAACTAGTGACAGGCTACAGGCGGAGGACTAGTTTGTTTGCCTGAAATAAGAAGCACACTCTGATTAATTCAGTGCGTTTACGCATCAGCCTGGTTCGTGCGCACAGGGCACACCGGGGAGGCGGAGGGGGGATGAAACTGCCTAAGAGGGGACAGTGGGTCGGTGTGGCTCCTGAAACTGGATGCCATACCGGGTCGCTGTGGTTGTTGACACTTTGACACAACACTGGTTCATGTCACATCAGAGGTACTGAGGGGAGCCGAAAATATCAAGCCCTCACTGGTACATAGTTTTGTCCAACACTCCAGACTGGAAGTACTAACTTTATTCCTGCACAAGCGTGCGTTACGTAACACGTGTTTACTTGTTCCCCCATCTATCCGAAGCATTAGCCCGAGGGACTTCCAGCGCTAACATAACCTGTTTGCACTGTAACCTTTCTAAATCGTCCTGTGTTTCTATGACATGACGAAACCAAGAGGGGTTCCGAAAAGTGGGTGCTTTCTGCCATCTACTGTTAGAAATCTGTCACTGCACGTTCCGGATTCAAGTTGTGCTGGAAAAATAAGAACGGAAAAGTGAATAAAAGTAATGACAAAATGGGACAGGACGAAATTAGATTTGGAAACCATTTTATTTTGTAAATGGGTTAGCACTCAGACTGTACACAACAGATATTTTCTGAGTTTGACCCAATAAAACCAAAAGGAGCATCCAGAGGCGAGAGAGCAAAGTGGTCTGGTGACAGCACTGGAGTACAAGGAGAGTAAAGATCTTCTTTTATTCCTGCTTTAAAACTGTATCTGATTTTTGTGATGGTACAAAAAAAAAGTATGATCATCTGTCTTAGGTGGACCACCTTGCTTCCTGCCAATGGTATCGTCAAGCAGTCGCTCTTGGTGAGTGATTTTTGTACAAAAAGACAAAAACTTTAAAAAAAAAAAAGAATTTCAGAGATCACATTACAGAACACTTGAATAACAACTGGGGGAAAAAATAAAAAATAAAAGCAATGTGTATAATTATGCCAGAGCAAGCCCCAAAGGTAACACTCATTAAATCAATATGAGCACTATTTGCCCCCATACAAACACGGGCATGTCTATCTGCCTTGTAGTTATACGTTATGATGTACTGACTGAATTCATGCCGAGGCTTGAAACGCCTTCCTTCACTACAGCTGGCGATAATATGGTGCTGTGACCAGAGACGGACAGTTTCATACACTACACGTGTTATAATGACCACATTAGTCCATTTATCGTACTTTTTCTTCTAATAACACATCAAATAAAAAGAATAGGCTAAATTTCTCACAACGAAGCTATGCAGATTATCATAGAAACTGATGACAAGACAATCTATTGACACACAGGCACAGTGCACAAGCTTGCAGGCAGGAACAGAAAAGAAATCTTTGTAGTTTTTAAATAGTACAAAAAATGCTTTTTTAAATTTCCTTTTTTAAATGTTTTTTTTTTTTTTTGCTTCAAATGCACAACTCAAAACTATGAAGCCAGACCTTTGATCTGCGTAAATGGGAGGAAGAACTACAGCTCTCATAGTCGTCCCCCAAACAAACAAATTTAGCTCGAGATCACAAGACATTCGCTTGATCCACAGTTCTTCAACCAGCGGCTGAGAATCAGCAGCTGTGCTGCCTCCTGTTTGTTTGTTTGTTTGTTTTTTTGGTCTGTGACTGTTAGCGTTCAAGGAGTCGCCTTTTTGTTTTTCTCTAAATCAAATACATTTTATTAATGAATATTTTAACTACCAATCTGGTAAGGCAGTGACAGACTGAATAAATTTGATCCAGAAATGGTGTAAATCAGATCAAATCATGCACATCATGTACTTGTGGGATTCTCTCAGCCTCTTTCCCCCCTGCAGCTGGCTGTGGGTTAATCCTGGATTTCATATAACCATAAAAAATGGCTATAATCCAAAGGCCGAACTCGAGTGTATATTTAATCATATCTGCGCGTGATTAAACATCCCCGTAGCAGACGAAGTGAAACAGTAAACCTTGTAAACAAAACTTCACAACCAATTGCAGGTCAGACATGCAGAACAAGCTATTTAATGAGACTAGGCCACAAAAGAAGTCAAACTTAAAAAAATGCTGAAAAAAACATTTACATTTGAACATTAGAGCATGAAAATAAGAAAAATAATTTCTATAGTCAGTTGTTTTTTTACCTTTACATTTCTCATAAGAATCCAATACTTTTGCGCAATTGCAGTCCAAACTATAAGCACAATAGAAAGTAGAGTCAAATTTTTATATATATATATATGTATGTATAAGTGATCTGTATAATTAGAGATTGTTCTTAATCTTCCTGACTGGTTAAATAAAATAATAATAAAAAAATAAAACAAATCTCTTATGACCTACAGATAAACTCCTTGGATGTAGTAAACATTTCATGAATGAGAGCAGAAATGAAAGCACAGTCAAAGTGCGCTCTAACCAATCGACACGCGTGTTGTTTTGAGAGTGGAGATAAGGGCACTGGAAACCAAAAACTCCTGCAGTGTTTCTTGCTCGATGCTGCTGCTGCAAAATGTTTTGGATAGGGCTGGGATGTCCCCGGCCCATCATGCTTTGCTCTCGGCTGTATTTGTCTGTATGACACTGTTGTGTTCTGCAGAGATCAGGGTGTTTGGTAAGCCTCCCTCCTCAAGTTTGCCCTTCTCATCAGAAAAAATCTTCCTGCAATGGGAAAGAGACAAAGTTCAAAATTAGAAATCGGGACGTCTCACGCAAGACAACAGAAAATATCTGAACAAACAACACTTTGTTTGAACAGTTTAAACCATTTATTCTCAATGACATCTTCACCCAATATGTAAGAAGACACTGTACTTAGATATCTTCTTACATATCTCTTCACCACCTTGACAACAGTCAGATAAAATAAACAGATAATGGCATACCCATACACCTCGTCCTGTAACGACTAGCATGCCTAAACTGAAACAGCAAATATTAGCTATTAATCGCTTTAGTTCTACTACAGAGAGACAATGGTAGGACGAGAAATTAGCCCTGGGCTTGTGGTATGTGATGTCCATTTTCATCTTTAAAGCAATTAGCACAGTTTCTAGTTGCTCAGAGCACAGAAACACCACAGTTAGAAGCTGTAGAATTAGTGAGAACTAAACATTGTGGTGATTAACAAAGGTCCATTGCAGACATGTAACACTGCTGTTAAAGTGATGGCTTTTACTTAACTGCTTATTGTGACTTTATTCAGACATGAGAGCAACGCTCAGGTACTCGAGTAGTTGAACAGTAGAGATGGAAAGTCATGTTTTTTTTTGTTCTCCTGACAGACATAATCAGTGACTGATTTTACAACGTATAAGTTGGATTTAAGCGTTTCTTTTTTCTGCAACTTAATACAATTGCTGTTGAACAATAATGACTTTACTGGCTGTTATTTTGCAAATTAAAGCTGATTTTATTTTCAGCGATTGCAAAAAATTGTGGGATGTGGGGCATGAGCTTTCTTCACTTCTGAAGGGAAGCATGCCAGAAGAAGTTTTAAGAACCACGGAGACATCAATAAGACGGCACGAATGAAAGCACACTGAGAAAGACAGAAGATCTGTTTACAGGTTTTTTAAGACTGCATCACTCCATTCACTCGTATTTATTTTCTTGATTATTTATTCCTCCTGTAAAAGGTCAAAGTTTCCTAACGCTCAAGGTTATTTCATCACTTCCTAAATTCTTCAAAACCTAAAAAATATTCAGTTTACTATAAATTTGATTTTAACTATTATGTTGATACATGAAGACTCACCTCAACAGCTCAACACTGGCTTAACCAGTTGGGTTCTTTTTACAGGAATCGTATGAGGCTCGGGTTAGGGACGTCGTGTTGTCATGGTAACTAACAGTGTGCAAAACTAGTTCAACAGATGTTTAAGAGCTGTGGCCCTCGCTAGTTGGCTCCAGCAATACTAACTCACTGAACTAATTATTTATATTTGGATAATTTACAATGCCAGTTAACTGTTGTGTCCAGAATGGTATGTAGTTGGGCATAAGACACCCTGCAGACCAGTGATCTAGACAGTGAATGACTGTATGTAAGTCGTGTCAGAGTAAACTGGGTAAAACCCACTTGATCACCACAAGTGGTGTGTAGACATTCACCCACAATGTGAGAAAACTGCCGGTGCTAGCTCCACCTCCCTGAGCAAACTAGCATGACGTGTGCAATCAAAGATGTAACACAATGGCTTTTCAGTGACATTTAAGATAAAATCTAATCACTGAAGAATTTGAATAATGGTTTGAAATGACTTAAACATACGCAGTATTTCATGTGCACAGCGTTTAACCTCATTTATTAGTTTTCTGACCTGTTCGTGAGAATGATTTTATTGTCTCTGTTTAAGTCACTCACCAGGAACACACCTAGACTTATGAATGGCATGTCAAATTTCCATATTTATGTAACGAGCTTCTTGTCTTGAAAGGGATTTAACTACGTTTGTGGTGAATGTTGCAAAGATAGAGACCCCACAATGGAGAACGGTCACAAACAAAACCAAAGCATCGTATCACTTCTCTATCCACAACATTGTACTAATAACTATCTTATTATCATTACCACAATTTACCATTACAATATTTTATATATTGTGTGGTCAATGGCAAGATGCGGTGGTGAATGAATGGGTATACAAGTTACACACACGCACTCACGCACACACACACACTCACACACACACAGATAAACCTCTAGAGGGAGCCGTACTCATCGTTGACAGGAGGAGCAGTCTTGGCCAGAGTCTCTGATGGCTGTAGAACTGGGCCTGAGGGGGGGTCTGCTTCGTCTCCATTGGGTAGAGAGGGGGCAGCTGGTGGGCTGTCTAAGCTAATGAGATCTGCGGGGGGCATGGAGGGTCTTTCTGTCCCGTTTATCATCTCTAAGTCTAAATCTGCATTTTTGGGCTCCATGTCAGGGGTCAGTAAGTCATATGTGTCTGACGCTGATATAAGAAGGTTGTTCGATGGCAACGCCTCAAGATTCACAGGGACAGGATTGGAAGGAATAGGAGTAACAGGTAAAGGTGAGGGAATGCCTGAAACTAGAGAACCAGGGTTTACAGCATCCAGGTCTTCAGAAACACCGTGGATCACTGCAGGTGAACTAGTAGTAGCAACTCTGGCAGTGGGCGTGGTACTGTCAGCAGTTTGATCAACAGTTTTGTCTTTGTTAAAGGCAGTAAGGCTACGCCCACTGGAATCTGGGGCTGTAGGTTTTGAATCTGGGTCTGGTGCAGGGGCAGTAGTTGCTAGACATGAGGCAGTTTGTACTGGTGGCTCTGGATTTAAGGCTACAGTGTTTGGCTGTGTGGGAGGTTTAGTGACTGGTGGGCTTGGAGCAGGTTTCCTGTTGTCTAAAGTGGGAGAGGAAGATACAGGAGAGACAGCCAGAGGAGAAACAGGGGGGCTACTTTTAGCATTCAGAGCAGCAAGTTTAGGAGAGTGTCTACGCTTCGGTGGTATTGGCGTCCCAGATTTTTGAGGTTTGATCTGTTCGGGGGTGCAAGGAGGAGTGTTTAATTTCTCCTGTTCTTCTGGGGCATCTCTTCCTCTCTGTTCTATTAGCGGGGCCATTTTAGCTTCAACAGCAGCTGTGGAGACGAGGGGGGGCGGCGGGGCCGTGTTCGATTCTGGAGTCGGGGCCGGAGCCAGGACAGGGGTGGGTGAGGGTTCGTTGGCTGGGGTGGACAGGCTACAAGTGAGGGTAGTGGTTTCACTAGAGGGGCTGTCCTGAGCGGGATCAATTGTTGCAGTGGCTGTGTCAGAGTTGGTGGCTACGGAGGAGAGGGTGTCCAGTGCCAGAGCAGCAGTGTAAGCCGCCTTCCTGAGAGAGCAGGGAGAGAACAGAGACACACAGACTAGACACCAGGGTGACTGTGACAAGAGGAGGGGTGGCCCGGACGAGAGCATGCAGAGGGATTAGTTGGCTTTAGAAATTCACACAAACATAGACAAAGCAACTAAAAGAAACACAAAATACAGCAACTTTTAAGCCTAGTGAGAAAAAGAAAGAAGAAGAAAAAGAGGGCATCATGCTGTGAGTGGACATCAAAGGATACATCCCATACACACACCAACATGGAGTACACTGACTAGGAAAACTACTGTAGTAAAAAAAGGCACCAGCCTTCCTGCAGGAAACTACAGCACCACAAAGAACCACCTATTAGGGTTAAACAGTACCAGTGGCAATCTCATACTGCATAATCTACTTTTTTCCAGACTGCTGATATGAGATGGCTTGCTGAAATTGTCAAATGGCTTCATGAGTTGACCACACTCTAGAGGACTAAAGCCTTTGTGTTTATTTGACTGGTATTGCTTCAACCTTCATACAATGAGACAGAAAAAAATCTCCAAAGGCTGGAGAAGAAACACAAAATACAGCAATCCCTCTGGTTAGGGAATAAAAACAGAAAAGCAACACAGTCCAATGGACTCCACTCAAGAATGACCTCAACTTTTTCAATAATGTAAAGCGTCAAATTATATCCTGTTGAATAAATTCATTATTCTTTAAAGTGGAGTGCAGTGTACAACAGCTCAGAGCGGTAAAAAGGCCGTGTGCCGTGTGTCAGCGTTTACTTACTCTGGCTCTGTGAGAGGTGTGGTTTCATTCGGCTCTACGGGTCCTGCTGCGTTATGATTGGCTGAGCACTCATCCTCTGTTCTGACTTCCACTATTGGCTCTTTGGACTCATCTTTCCTGTAAGATACAGACAGTCTTGCTAAGCTGTTGTTTTTGGCCAAGCGGGCAGTAAGAAAGGATGATTCAAAAGCAGCAGACGGCCCACAGTGATCATCTATTTTCAAGCTTACAAAGTAACGTCAAGTCATCCATCTGGCTGTGCTTTCGTGGAACCGCACTCATGAAATGTAACAATCCAATACGTAATGCAACATCCTACTCAGAATGATTCAAAACGACTGCCGTTTTGTACACATGAAAGCATCCATTCAGTGCTGCGCTTGAATCAAACATCCTCATCTGTTTCATTGAAGGAAAATTTCATCTTACCTATGGGGCCATTTTATTGATTCATGTATTCTTGCTGTACTTCAGATACTGCCTGGTTAGACATTGTAATACATGTTTATTTTGCTCAAGAGGCAATCTCAGTTATTGTTTAATTACACAAGCTTCCCTTGATATATCTAGATATAGCAGCCCAAAAATAAAATAAAACCTTCAGCTAAAATTCTAAGTAATCTTCAGAGTTCATTCCTGAAAGGCCTTCTGGGAAATGTGGGAAGGCCAGTTATTCTAAGCTGAGGTCGGCTTATTTAAAACGCAAACAAAAGGTAAATTGGAAGATAAATAAAACCCTCAAACACATCACATTTCTACAAGAATCTTCTTAATTTTGTCTTTCTTATTACCCACAGACTTGCTTACAACAAAACTGAAAATTATTTTCTATCTGGGATTTTATAAGTTAGGTACAATATGTAACCACATCAGTCATTTCTATCCACCACTTGCTCTTCCTGTTATACAGACTTTAAATAGTGACTGTGGCGTACATCACCAGCTGCTTGTATCTTCTCCCTGCATGATTCCCTGCATTTTTACCTGAAGTAATGAAACAAGTTTGTTGTGTGTACCTTAACCATTTTGCAAAGTGCTTTGCTGGAGGATGTTGAAGTAGCGCATTTTGAGCTAAATGTTTATTCGAGGCAGAGGTGGCTTTGGCTGTCTGACATGACTTGGTTTGTCTTTTTGTTGAGCATACTAGGGAACATAAGCATGCGTTGCTATAGCAATGGCATTATGATATGATCTGACACAGCCCTAATAATCACTTTATAAAGCTGATATGGTGAGAGTGCTTGTGTCAGGTTGTCTGACTGTTACATCCAATATTAACTCTGCGTTTAGCCGTTTTATTCTGCACCAACTCCTGATGTGTCTTTATCTCCTCTATGCTCACCCATAGACATTACAGAAAATCTGGACATAGTCACCCTGAAACCACCCTTTTGTAAAAGAAGTAACAAAACCTTAAAGTAAAACTGTTGACTGAGGTCACAAAGAATAAGAGCCAAAAGTTTTCCCATTTGCCTCTACAAAGACTTTTTAGTAACAGATCACTTATCCTCAGGCTACTGGAAATAATGCAGATTTAAAGCACTTGAATCAATGTTGGCTTTGCTTTTAAAAACCAAAAGCTACATTAGTCTTTTATATACAGTCTACCTTTTCCACTAGCTAGTTGCTCAGTCCTGTTGTTGTTTGGTGCAAAGTTGTATATAACCATCTCACATTACACATGTAAGAGATCCAATCATCTGATCCAATCTTAAAATGAAGATATTCATACACTGAGTTGAAACAATCTCTCTGGTTCCACATTTTTAACTTTGAACATAAATTAGACATCATATGTGTGCCATCAAATACATCAGTTTAAAAGACCCAGACAACATGTATGTAAATATATGTAAATATACAGTCTGATACTCACATGAAGGCTGCCTTGCCCTCCTCTAAGTTGTGCCCTTTGGTCCCTGTGCCCGACTTGCCGCAGAGACACATGATGAGGCCACATTTGTTAACAAAGTAACAGGTGACATCCACAGCCAGGAGCAGGAGTATAAATACCACAACGAGGATTCCTGCCCAGAGCATGATGCCCATGGAGAGCGGAGACTCTTCACTTAAATCTGCCACACAAGAGATGAGAAAAGGGAGGGCGCTGAACTAACGTAGCAGGACACACTTTTACAGAAACCATGAACAACTAAATAAAGTGCTGACGTGTTACTGTAACCACAAATACTTCCATAAAACAGAAACAACTCACCTGCTATGAGCACTGATAGGTTCTAGATGGCTCAGCACAACTTTAGATGCTGTGTGTCGTTTGTATCGACTGTGCTGTCAGACTTTAATTATTTATATGACTTCATTTCTAAATATGAGGCATACTGAAGATTTGATATGCATGAAGCTGTGCATAAAAAAAACGAAAAGTATAAATATATATTCAACCCATTTATTTGGTAGTAGAAAGAAGAGCAAACCAAAGCATACAGTGTGCTGCTAGTTACCCAGACATGTGGAATAATCTGTGCACAGAAAATGAATGTCAGGCTTTTCCCAGATTTAAAAGCAGTGATGTATTGTCACTGTTTGGGTAATATCAACTTTGATTTAGCAGAAATTACTCTAAAATATACATTTAACTCTGCAGGTAATTAACATGTAAACAAGATCTATACATCTGAGTAAAGCATCCCAATTACGTACGTATAAAAATGACTATTGCTGATGACACTTGCGAAACATTACATGCTGGAGGAATATCTGGACATTTATCTTAGTAGTCCGCATAAAAATAAGTTGTTGTTTGATCATTCTTTAGGTGGCTTGTCAGTCTGTGCCAATATAAACAATTGTTTCCCCATTTTATGACCTTAATTGTGTAAACGTTAATATTACAAACCTTTACATTATGCAGAATTTTGTGAGCTATTAAACAATATAATACAGTGCTTATGTAAACACACAGGTCCAGCAGTCAGCCTTCACTCTGTTCTAACGCTACTTGAAAAAAATCTACTATTGTTCATCACTGTAAACTGGCACTCTTCTCTGTCTCTCTTGTCTAGTGCTGATGACTAGCAGTGCTAATGCTGAGCAGTATGAAACTGTGGGAGGTGGAGGATTTCCACTGCCTTTGGTTCAACATGTCTGTCTGGTCTGTTCTGAAACAACACAGCACTCTTTTCCTCACCCATAACAGAGACACATCTGTCATGGACAAAGTCTGTTGTGAGTGAAAGTGTCCAGAAAGACAGCCAGAGAGAAGGCAAGCTCTCCTCTACAGTAATGGTGTGAATTTCCTCACGAAAACTATGAGAGCAGGAGAACAGTGATGAGGGACATGATGAGTGATACCAAAGTGTATGTCACAGATGAGCAGCCCTGAGTGGCTGTGGGTGGGGACAGCACAACCCAGACCACACCAAAATGCACACAGGTCGGGACGAAAATGTTCACGTGGTCCACCACACCAATGTCCAGGACCAGGCAAGAGAGCAGGAACATTGAGAGAGAAAGAGGGGATAAAGAGAGAAGGGGGGAAAGATAATAAAGGAAGAGGGGGAGAAATGAAACGGAACAAAGAGGGGGAGAAAAAGAGAAGGGCGGGGAAAACAGAGGAAGAGAGAAAGTGAAAATGTGTCAGGTCTGAAAACCAAAAGTGGAAAAAAAAAGACGAAGAAACTGATTTCTTGTATTGAAAAAGGGGAAAAAACAGCAACACATCAAAGCAAAAGCACAGCACAAAAGAGGAAAACTACACCATGTCGACTAGATGGTGACTCAGTGGTGGGTGAGTGGAAAATGCTTTAGTTTGGAGAATGAATTAGGAAAAAAGTGAGAGGAAACATAATGGCCTGCTGTGATGTTTCAGTGAGGTACTCAAGTGTGTCTATCACCTAAAGAGAATTTGACAGGCTGTGTAGGTTTCGGCACGGTTAGTAAAGAACCTTCAGCTGCAGTTAAGAATTCAACATACGTGTTAATCAGCGGTTACTGAGGGTCATTTTAAAAGCTCCAACCAGACAGAGACAAACTATCCACATTAACGGTAAACAAAGTTACAGACATTCAGAGGAGATCATTTTATCCTCTGTGTGAGTGTGTGTGCCAGATCTGCAAGCACAAACTCAAGCTCATTTAGTGAGGGCTGTCAAAACTTTAAAGTGAGAAAATTCAGCCGGAAAATCATTTTTGGCTCATCGCCGTCCACGAAATCTATTTATTTTTTCTATAGATTTATTTAGTTGTCATTCACCCGTCAGCGCTCCAGATTTAAAAATAGAACAAGCTGCTCTGGTTTTCAGGTTTGAGTTTGGCTCCTCAGGTTTCTGGCTGTTTAGTTCCACATTAGTGTGAGTGACCGGGGGCAGGTACGCTACCTGGGATGGCCTCTGGCTCTGACGAAGTCCTGAAGGACATGGTTGCTGGCTGAGACTTGCCCTTCTGATTCTCTGCCACCACGTAGATGTTGTACTCTGTGTCCCACTCTAACCCACTGAGAACTATGTGATCACTGACACTGGGCAGCCGGATTTCTGGTTTCCACTCTGAAGACTGCACCTAAGGAGACACAGATAAATACAGTGCATGCATTCAGGGTTGGAACTTTATTTGGTCTTGTGAAGGTGAAATTTTTAAGCATGTTTTCAAATTGCTCCAAAAACACCTGTAAGAGCTCAGAGCAATCAAAATTTGTGTCTGTTTGGCCAAAAAATAATTCATTCATTATGAGAATATGATAAGTTTTTCTATTTTCTGTCAACAAACCAGGTATTAAATAACAATTTCAGCCCTAACAACAGCTTGAAAATCACAGAATTAAACATTTTTTTGCAGTGCTTTTGAAACTACAAGGATTTGGTAGAATCATTATTACCGCTGCAACTAAATTACTGCTTTCACTGACGATTAAGTACTCGATCAAGAGTTACTGATCAGATTTTTGGCATATAAAATAGCGTAAAACGCACATGACATTCTAAAACCCACAAAAAAAGCAATCTTAAGACTATGTAAAGCAGTAAATGTTCAGAGAATATTTCATCGTTTTACTTAAATGATTAAATCAGTTATCAAAGCAGGTGCCTTAGTTGAGAAGGAGCAATTGCTCTTTAATCCCCATACTCACTGGTTTATAACGGATAAGATAATGTAAGATGGGAGAGCCGCCATCATCCTGCTTGATCCAGCTCACTCTGAGGGAGTTGCCTTTACGTTGAAGTGCTCCTTCAAGTTTAGGAGGATTAGGATTCCCTACAGGGACACAGGAGCAAGATGGAGGTCATTTAATGGCTCATTTCAAGAGGTGCAGCGAGCTAGAGGGTTATTTCTTTGAAAGAGGCAGCTCTGTCAGTCCACTTTTCCATTTTGAAATAAAGGAAAAAGAAAACTTTCAGTCCAAAGTTTGATCTTGGATGCTCTCCTTATTGTTGACCTTTTAGGTCACTTAACCTCCCTTAAACGCTCTCCTAAGGGTGGCTTGTGTTACTAATTAGTGAATGACACACAGCCGCATGCTTATCTGTTTCATCAGAGTTGCTGTGTGTTGCTGCTGTTGCTGAGTGACATCAATTGGCAGATGGACATCGCACCAGGCTTCAGGCTAAAGAGTTATTTATCATTAACTAAGAATACGTATATAAGATTGCCAAGTTCCAGCACAATAACAGGGTTTGTCTTTAATTGTTGTATAGTTGTACCTACTGGCATGGAAATCGCACAGAATTAAACTAACATATGTCTTGTCTGTCTTAAACCTGTAATCATTTATCTATTAAACACTGATTACATAACAAACACCAATTAAGTCTAATATAAATGTAGTCAATATAATTTAAATTTATTCAAATTAATTTTTCCGACATCTTTTTGTGTCCATTGCTGACAGGGTGGAGGTCCTGGGGGGCAGTTGAAACTCTCTTTCCAGATAGATTAAAAAATTAAAATGTTCTGCATCAAATGAAACCACTGAATTTATGCATTAGCATCACATAAAGGCTACCTGATATGTAATTGAAAACTGGACGTCCTTTGTTTGTTTTACAACCTAAACTATTGAGTTCTGCCACAGTACACATATATCATTTTTCCAATTGCTTAAAATAGAACTACAGACTGATTTCAGTGACCTAAAAAGATTCTAGTGTTTCATCCAGGGTTACTAAGTGGAGCCGAATCATCAGCTATGAGCTGATGGAGAAGTAAACAATTAATCCTGTATTTCTGGTAACTAGCGGTCTAAATTTCAGGAATGGTTTGTATTCATAAGTGTCTGTTACAAGTTTCCAAAGTATAAGGTAAAGTCAAATATCTTGTCTAAACAACAGTTCAAAACTCTGAATTTCAGTTTACTGTCAGAAATCTCAGAAAACATTCAAATTTGATGAGCTGGAACACTGAACGTGGCTGCTGATTTGTTTTGTCTCAGATATTTGATTAATCAACAAATTATTGAAGCTCTAAAGGTTAATGCACTTACAAACAGGTAACAAGAAAGATGTGCACAGTGGTTAACATTCAGGATTAGATAAAGTCTAAGCTGCTTAAGCCTCAGGTTAAATAAGATTAAGAAAATATAGAAAATATATACCAGCAAGCCTGCTGCAAGGATGAGTATTTTGTGGGATGGCTGGAAGATACTGACTATGTTTATTACACTTGATTTATAGCAACACATCCTATAAGTAAGGAGGTAACATCCCTCAGGTGACAGGCTATCAATACTATGTAAGTGAAGCTAACAGTAAACACTGCTGACTGTTATTTAAACAATAAATACATTCTCGTTCTCTACGTTTACATTTATCTTGCTCAGGCAAATGTCTAGATGACTGATTAATGTGTTACACGACCGCAGAAGCAAACTATGTGCTGTTTTATCTGCTGAATTCTTTAGTTCAAGTTAGGAATCGTCAGTCAGGAATCTGCAACAGAAAGTTACCTTCTGCAGAGTGGAGGGAATCATCAGCAACATGCAAGCCAAATAACAGTCGCAGAGACATAAAATGACACATGTGAGTGGTTGAAAGAGGAGGAAGAGCATGAAAGGCATAACAGACAACAAAACACAGGTACAGGTTGAGGATAGAAAACTGAAGTGACCCAAAGACAAACCAATACTGATAAATAATAAATCACAGCTCCACATGCTGACAAGCTGCACAGGGATTCCTCTGTTTGGATTCTAAATGAGAAAAGTGCAGAAGACATCTAGCAGCTTTATGCTCTCGACAATTTGCAACTAACTGATTAATCACTGCTGATGGGCCTAATCCGAGTGTAAACATTCCCAAACTACACCAAACAGCTGAAGCCAGAGAGAAAATGTGCAGCTTTTGAAATGCAGAGATTTGGCTCGGATTCCTCATACTTGCATTAAGCCAATTTATTCACATGCTGCACATCAAAAATTATATTAATACTAATGGGATAAATCAGCTGTAAACTCATGGGATGCAAGTAAAATTAAAAACCTAATCGGTCTATGTTACAGACGGAGGAGTTTGCATTGATGGCCATGACCTTATGGGTCACAGTTTCTCAAAAACGATACACCTTTTGAAATACTTAAGCGGGATTACAAACACTGCTAATCAGTAGGGGTGATGGGTTATCCTGTTGGGTAAGAAACAGCTATAGCAGTAAAAACTAATCTTCTATTATCCCCACTACAGAACAAACCTGTGTCTTCAGTGAAAAAATGAAAAATGCCGTCTAGGGACATAAAAGAGAAGAAAGGCAATCAGAATCACTTGTCTGCACAAATGACCACCTGAATCTCTAATAACACTTCACTGAAGAAATCAGGAAGACACATTTCTGTCAGATGGCTCCAGAAAGGAAGAAAAACAAATCATTTTAGGAAATGATTGCCACATTTAAAGTAGGGAGACAGAGCCAGCCTCCATGAAAATGAAAGGCCACTTTACGGTCTAAAAAGGTAGCTTGAAATGATGTTCTTCTGATAGTATTTTATGTAAATATTTCAGCAAACCTCTATCGCATTTTATATGTCAGCAAACCTATATGACATTTGTTCAGTTTTATCAATTACTATGACTAAATGTTAATGATCTGGCCTTTAATTATGATCTTAGTTCTAAAAAAAAAGAGAGAGAAGGGGTTTAAGTCCAACTTTCGCCTTTGCCATTCAATAACAACATAATTCAATAGCAATATATATCCACAACTATAAAGCTATCTTTTTAATGTTTTTAATTAATGCATTTTAAATGAATCACTTACTGTTGTAAGTGTGGCCTGATGAATACAACAGACAGAAGAGCAAATGGATAAAAAAAATCAATGATTAAGAATGATAAAATAGAAGGAGAGATGATCAGTACACAGACAATATATAAATCATACCAGCACTCCCTCAAAAAACATCTATTGCCAAACAACAGAGGGCGCTAAAAACTAACTAATGTGTTGAGGTTTCACTGCATGCTGGCTTCTACAGAAGGATGAAATCACACTTCAGGGTTTGCAAGTCAATATAATGACATGATGGGCTTGAAACATGGCTTTAAAACAGGATATCTGAAGCAACTGTGCAGATGGCTCTAAATGATACCTATGTGATGAAATCAGTATTTAATTCCATATGTAAAAACAAGCAATCTGGCTTTAAAGATTTGGTTATGGCAGAAGTATTTCATGAACTAGAAAAATCAAATAAAAGCAAGAAGGTCAGAGAGCTGCTTCGTAGAGACGGAAAAGCGGTTTTAAAAAGACATACATGGAATGAAAGGAGACAGGTGAAAGCTTTTGTGGCATCATCCAAACAGTCTTAGGACCGACTCTTCAGCGGGTTTTTATAGAGAGACTGAAGGTAATATGTTTGTGGAGACAAGAGGTCAGAGAGGTATACTAAAAGCATTATAGCATGCTGTAAACTGTAACATGTGCCACTTACGAACAGGCTCCGTCTTCAAGAACGCAGCGTTACAGCTTTCACCTTCACCCTTGCCGTTGACGGCTGACAACTTCACTTCGTAGCTCGTGTCTGGCTTCAGGCCTGTGACTGTTACCTCACCGATGGAGCCTGTTACAACAGCAGAACACCATGATCATTTTGGTGAGCACTAAAACAAACAGATCTCCTGTTCCAACAATATATGCATAATTCATTGCTGCCCAAGCAAACACCGATTAGCTCAATTCACATTTCATTCCAACAATGTTTGAAAAACTGATGAATATATTTAGAGTTGGTCTAAAACTAGACAAACAGTGACAGCTGTTTTATATGTTGCACTGTCATCTTAAATGTAATGATCCCTTTTGGGATGATGATTGCTTTTGATCAAGCTTTTTATATAAATTATACTGCTTTTATGTACACTTCCGTGTTCAATTCCTTTCTAAAGGGGTGACTTGTAGGTTAAAACAAAAAACTAAATTCATACCTATTTCTTAGAAATAATCATTAACTTTTGTATTTTACTTTGTAGGAGACATTTAGGGGAAACAAACACCAGAGGAAAGGAGTCATTGTTACCACTGCTCTTAAAACTCTGTCCGACCACACTGTACAGGGCAGAGATGTGCACTGTGTAGTCTTTGCTATGTCTGTACTGTGAGTTGGTCAGTTTTCCTAGTCTGACCTTAATTTCATGATTTCACCATTTTGAATTATCATGTTTCTACAGGAAACACGAAAGACTTTCCTGCCTTCACTGTGCAGGACCCACTGCTGTATCTGTAACAAAAAACAAGGCTGTAAGTGCAGACATGAGGGTGTTCCAGACGATATAATTGAGTTTCACGTGAGACATCTAAACCAGGCCTGCGTGAGACTGACAGCTGGTGCTTTTTCTTCAGTTTTGCTGGCAGTGGTCAGCATAAAGCTAGACAAAGTGTGAACTACAAGTCATCTATTCTAATGTTTGCTGACTTTCTCCCACCTAAATTTAATAGATTTGGCTGATAGCAGTTGATTCTTGTGCATCAGTTTGTGCTATGGCACTAATATGCCAGCCCAATCTAGTACAACACAGTCAGAAATGGACTCTTTTATCCTGATCTGTGATATCAAAATAATAATGAGGCCATATAAGGCTGTTGTTTTTATTTAAATAAATATTTTCAACGTCTTACAGTATGTGTCCAAACAACTGTAGGGATCCAAATTTATTTTGTCAAACATGACCTAGTTTGGCTGCTCTCCCTTTTGTGACTTCATGACCAAGCCATGTTTCTGTGTCGAGGGTATCAACAACTCTAAATTACGTTTTAGTGCATATATGGACATATTTGTCAAAAGGAAAAGAAATCACGTTCACACAGCCTTTTAATCGCTTTGGTTATAAAACAAAAAGCTGCTGAATGCAAACCTTCCTTCCTTTAATACAGGTCATCTTTACTGATATGATTTAACAAAATGTGAAAAATCTGACATTTTTAACATTAATATGTATTTCTATCTATTTGAATCGTACTTGGATATTTAAAAAGAATGTAGTTAGACATTAAAGAACAGACAAACATCACAATCATGTTTCTGTGTTATTACCATCTTGGACTTCATAGACTTTCTGCACCCAGCTGCCTCTGCCACGCATCCTCCACTGAGCTCTATATTTGAGGACAGGAACGCCTCCAGTGGATTCAGGCTCCTGAAACTGGATCAGTGCTGTGGTGGAGAATGGCCTCACCTCCACGATGGATGGAGTTGACGGAACCTCTGTGAGGGGGAAAAAAATCAGTCCAGTTACAATAAAAACTTTAAGATTGCAGCACACCAGCATTGTCAGACTCCATTGCTATATCAGAGTAACAGGATGAGCCCACGGCTCCTAATGACCCCACAGTGCATCTAAAAACCGCTTCATCTTCGTGCGAAATCTGTGATTTATCGTGACAGTAAGTCTGGTTCTCTTCTACTGAATTCTGTACACTACTGACATCGTTTCAGAAAATAAAAGGCAGGAAAAAACATTTAAAAGCTCCTTATGACCAACAGATTCAAGAACAAGCCATTCCCAAGTCAGCCCTAAAGATGATAACTCCAGAAAGAAAACCACTAAAAAAAACAGTAAGTGCCTGATTGGATGTTTGAAAAGACCAAAAGTTCTGAGAGACTGTTGAGTTTGATAAAACTTTAAATTGGAAAAGGAGATTTCATAGATTCAAAGACCTTGCAGTGAGTTAAGCAAAGCTTAATCTTTAAATTTAAAGTGAATATTAAAACTGAAGAATATGCAAAAGCTAGTTCAAAGACTTCTGTAATTGTACTTTGATTAAAGTTTAGAAAATAAAAAAGGATCCATCCTGTGATGTACACAATGATTAGACAATTAGTTCTTCATTTACAGTCTGCCTTTGTTAAAAAAGGTTTACTTTGTTTCAGCCAGCAATGAAAGGCTTATTTAAGAGAAAATTACATTATTTAAAAGTATTTAACCTACTGTGATTGAAGCTCTGCCATCACGTAATGTCGCATACTGCTGTTTCTGATGTCATTTAAAAAAAAAAAAAAAAAAAAAAAAAAAAAAAAAAAAAAAAAAAAAAAAACCTACTGTGATTGTCCACATCTGAATAATGGTGGCTGTTCTGAACTCACAAACTCTAGTGTGAGTAGTTTTGTATTGCATCACTTTGATCTTCTAAATTAAAAGGCACACTGTAATTACTGTGGTTGCCCATGTTCGGCTCTGAGTGAACAATGTAGTGTTTTCAATTAATTCACTTCTGATTGTGGCTTAAGAGTGGCATTATCTCTCTGCTCTCTGTTCCATTTGCCTAATGGTACATTTGTCTGGGAAGTCTATGGTGTAGGTCCATGTTACAATAAAATGCTATACCTTAATATAAAAAAGTCTTTTACTTTATACTGCAAACAGTGCAATGTTAGTGGTGAGAGGTTGAGGTAAAGTTTAGTTGTAGAATAACCAGAGGGAACATTACATTATCATGTAGGTTACACATTCTTTTCATCTTAATCAATTTATCAGCCATCGATACAAACACTGATCTGTGTAATCTCACGTCATGGTGGATGTTTTGGTCTAATGCGATTTGATCATGGATAACAAAAAAATAAATAAAAAATCTGTTCCCGAAGCCTTAAAAAACCTGAAACAAAAACTACTATGTGATCTAATGAAATTTACCTACTCATCATTTTTAAGCTGTTACTGAATCACGATCACATATAAGGCTGCTTGTTTTTTGTTTTCAAATTTTAATTATGCTGAAAATCTTGGCACAAACACTATAAATGCAAAGTAAGAATGGATTTTGAATCACAGCATTGCCACTGACCAGCCTGAATGAGCAGGAACTCCTTGGACTCTGTGCCCATCTCATTTGAAGCAGTGCAGTTATAGCTTCCAAAGTCATTTTCAGACTCGGGGGTTATCTGGAGGGGGGGGGAATAAAGCAGTAAATATACGAAGGGCAGTGTACCAAAACAGATGAACTAACTTGTGTGTCAAACACTGAAGGTGACCTTTTTGTTTGTCCATTAGAGTAGCCTATTTTTATTTGTCGCTGTGAGCTCTCCTGCTGCTGAATTATTCATGAGATTTTTTTTTCCCAACAATGAAGCTGAAAGAAAACCCTACACTTCAGGTCTGTGCTCATGAAATCTTGATGACACATGGGGTTCAGAGTGTGTGTTTGTGCACACTGTGTGTATATGTACATTCATTAGAGAGATAGAAAGAGGGATTAAGTCATGGTGTGACACGGGTGTTCGTACCTGCAGGAAGCTGGCTGAGGGAGTCCTGAAGATCTTAATGTTGGTGGTGTTTGAGTTGGGGAGCTGCAACCCGTCTCTCAGCCACACAATAGAGACATCACTGGGATGAGCTTTGACCTCACAGCTGATATTGGCAGGATTCCCCTCCCAGGTATACACTGCCACTGTACCATTTATCTTAGGAGTATCTAGGAAATAAAAACGGATACAACCTGTCAATCCATTTCAGGTGTTATTTAACAGTTCAGTTATAAATAGTCATAGTGACTTGCAGTGCTATTTTTTTTAATGCATAGTGCATGAGTGTACTCATTTTGTAGGGCTAAACACTTGTATAAAGACAGAGGGAAACACTTACAGCGGACCTCCATATATGCTGTTTGATAATCCTCTCCGATGACGCTGTGTGCTGTGCAGAGGTACTGACCAGCATCTGTATACTTGACATACTTCAGGGTGAGGGAGGACACACGAGCGTGACTCCTCACCACTATGTTTCCATCCGGGCTCTAAATGGAAGTAAAAAATGGCTTTGTTTAGTAAAAGAAATTAGTTAGATCAGTTCTTATAAATAGATATTATGCACATTTACATAAAGAATACAATTATGCAGAAACACGTGACCTTGAAAAAAAGTATTTAAAGTCCACTTTTACAGAAAAGAACAGAAACTGAAAGAATGAAACAAGCACAGACTGTTCTGTAAAGCTGCAGAGACATAAGGGCCCAGTTGACAGTGCAGAGGAGCTTTTCAATAATTGATGTCAGAAGGCATTAGAAACCATCTAGGGCTTTTCACACTCAGGGCTTACTTGTGAAATATGCTGATGCATACTGGTAGACAGAGCATTACCTTACGTGTGGCGCTTGCACTTTTACACTAAAGACACTGGATTTAGTGTCAATCCACAACATTTTATTTCTTTAAGTTAATTACTTAAAAATAAAATGTTGTGGTGTTGTGGACTGTATTAGGTTGAGGAACTCTCTGAACCTATATCCAGCTCCAGTGTCAGTGAGGAAGAGGAAGCACACGCCAAGTCACAAAGCATCTGAAACCACTCAAATAATAACAGACAGCTGGCTAATGAGATGTGTAAATGCACTTCCCTCTGTAAACCTGGTTTCATTAACTTGATATGCGGTGTTACAGCATCCAAACATGAGTAGCTTCCCAACAGGGTCAACAACTTTGTGTTGTTGTGGTTGTTGTTGCCATGTGACACTTAACTGCAGAGTGTAAAGTTTCAGACAGGCTGAATTTCCCCTTTCAACGATACATTTTCCTGTTATGTTATTACAATATTTCGAACAAACTTTGGACATTATTGTCTTGTGACAGATGTTTTTACTGAACATATCTGTAATATCTAGCATAATTAAGCATTATTCACAAACTCTGTGGATTTGGGGCTTTAGCACAAAGCTCTTACACAGTAAGCTGCAGCATTTTTGTGAATTATTCCTTTAACAAGGTGCTGCAGGGCTGAATATTTGAGCTTCCCTTTTGGTTGCTTTCATGGCTTTGATCCAAGCTACAGGCAAAACAATAGCCGAATGCTTTTACACATATTGAATTAGGGCCCAGCCTGGGCAGCCATGTAAGAGAAACCCTTGTTAGTTTGTATTCAATTTCAATAGACAAAGCATGTCTGGGGCATTCATTATGCATAGCGGGTAGCAGGACCAGGGAGACACTTACATAACACGCTACCCTTGTATTGTGACCCCTGTGCAGGAAGCATTCTCACTCGACCCCTGTGGTTCTGTTTCTGAGTCCTGCGTCTGTGCAACATGCCACACTATGCACAGCTATGTGTCATATTAAGTGTGTTGACTCCAATATGGAAACCTTTTTTGTGTCATTATTTTATGATAAAGTATGAGCAGTTTCTCCAGAGCTACAGCCTCTCGTTTCCTATATGAAATCCATCATGATTATTGTTATTTAGCAAAGAAAATGTATGCCTTCATGCAACTTAATATTGTGATTCATGAATTTTTTATAACAATATATTTTCAGTATAAATTCATAGTGCACCGGAGTTGCTGTCTACTGGAAACATCCGTGCTGAATTTTGTGCTCCTTGCGTAAAAAGGCATAAAACCATTTCGCACGTCTATGAGAAAATGAAGACTTTCGCGTGTGCGCTCCTGTAATAAAACCAAGCTGACAGCAGAGCTCTCCCACAGATTCTTCTGCTGTACCAACAGAAGAGACACAGAGGGAGCATCAGGGCATAAAATTGAGATTGCATTGAAGACATGTTAAACTCGTGTCTCACCAAATATTAAACAGCCCACAGTACAAAATCACCTTCCCTTCTGAGGCTTGTCAAATGAACACTAAGCTTCCTACGCCTTTGCAACAAACATGGCTCCTCACCCTCACCCCCCCACCCCCACTGTGCAATTCATAATGGGATGTCTTTGAGAGATGTGCACTTATCAATTCAGAGCACAGGTGAACTTTTAAAACAATATAATTATGTGAAGTGAGTGAAAATGTGAAGTGAGTAATTCAAAGTGATTGCCTTTTCCATTAATGTAAACCGTTCCATTTGTGACCTGAAACCACAAATATGCTGCTCAGATATGAGTGCCCACATTTAACTAAAATACTCCTCTTATATATATTAAAAAAGGGAGGCATAACTCTTTTTAAGTAATGCATGTGTTCAGCAGTGGAACTTGCTGAGATCATCAGTCTTTTAAAAAAAAATGGAAAACGCAAGCAACTAGGATACGCTGTTTGAGCTTTTTGGGGTTGCCTAATTTAAATATAATCAGCAGATCATTAATGTAAATGTTCAGAACGATTCATTTTGCTCAGATTTTCAAGATAAAAGTGTTCCAATTCACAAATTCAACAGCTTAGTATTGCAGATGCACAAAAATCCAAGTGCATCCATGTGTAAATCATAGTTATACACAAACTGAGCAATTACTGTCAGCATGTGCCTGATGAGAAAGGCTCTTCCTCCCCTCCTGTGGTGAGGTGGGTGAGATTTTTTATTCCACACTTTCTGCAGGTGCTATTAATGAATGCGTATCAGCTGACAATCGTAATGAAAAAAATACCAACAGCTGTCACGACCGAATAATTAAGGCCGACTGTTAGAAACACCCCTCCTTAAACCTATTAGCAGAAGGAGTAAAAGGAAAAGACCAATTCTCTTGATGTCCAGTGCTTCCTGCAATGTAAAAATAAAACAGCGTGGCTATTTAGGGAACCGAATGGTCTAAGAATACACATTCATATCTTGTTAAATAGCACTGAAGTAAAAATAGAAATGGCAACCCTAATATCTGATCTTGCTCCTAAAACAGAGATGGGCTGATCAACAAGGCACTGCTTTGTGTGAGCGATCACTTCTCTTCAAGAGTCTGGATCCATTCTTTTTGTCACCATTTTTCTCGTATGTAAAACACATTCTATAGGGAAGTGCTGTATATTGGAGAAAAGCTTATGTGGGCAGCTCTTTCACTTACTGCCAATTTTCGCTTTCTTTCAGAAACAGTCGCTTGTTCTTATACTCTGTTGCTGCACAAAGGCAGCTTTTATTTCCTCCTACATACATATTTAGCCATGTTCAAATTAAACTACTGTATACACTAATGTCAAAAGTATACTCTGAAGTTATAATTAAGATTTAGCGGTGGACAGGATGTGTGGGTGGGGGGACAGAGAGATCTGAGGAACAAAATCTATTTCTGCAGAAGACAAGTTGATCACATGGTATAACTGTAACTGTCATGCGCGTAATAAAACGCTTTTGCTGATGTCCAGGCATGACAGGTAAAAGGTCAGGAGAAAGACAAGAAAAAAAGACTGAAATAGGCTGCGATTTGTTAAGAAATCTAAGGAACATGGCGTGCAAAGAAACACAGACTTGCACTGTCCTGTTTTGCTACTGCTTCTCAGAGCTTATGCTCACCCCAACCTTATTTGATCAAGAATGTTGATCTGCATCCATCCAGAATTGGACTAGATTCCCCTGACATGAAAGATGGATGGGTGTAAGAAAAAGTCATGCATTTAGAATACCTTGTGTTGCTCAGGCCGAGTCCATGATGCCTGTAGAAGACAGAGAGACGAAAAAACAAAAAGGCAGAGCAATTCTTAGAAAGCAATCCTCATCCTGTCAAAGCTGGGATGTTGCACACTGCATCCCAGTTAAATGACCAGTTTATTTTTTTATGCATCTAAAGTACCTGAGCTGAATGTCTGAATTTACTAAATTAAGAGTCTGCAGACATAACGAGATGTATGCTTTAGATGTTCTCTCAAGGGAAGCCTATTTTAGGAGGACAGGAGTTTCTTTTGAAAGGGAAATTTTGTGGGGATGTTTACAGTCTGTGCCTGCCTGTACGTGAAGTAAGTCTTTTGGCATCATGATAGCACAAATGCTTTGTGATAATAAGGTTATTGGTTCATCAGGAAGAGGTGAGTCTGGTACGCTGTAACAACAGAGTAATGTCTCCTTGGGTAATAGAGGAATTATTGCCTCACAATCCTTTTCTGAAGGCTGAAGCAATAATGTGAGCCCAAAAGAATGGAATTTACTCTTTATCTATGAATATAAAAAAGCCCTCCCAAGATCGAGAAGCAAGTTAGTACCCTAGTCAATCAAGCCCTCTAACAACACTTGCTTGATATCTCAATAAGCAATGAAGGAGGTTCAAATAAGCAATTTGCTACAGCTCATCCTCCACACCATGTGAGACCTGGAAATAAATCTCAGCCTACAGGTGGCCTTTTTAAGTCATTTTGAAAGTCCAATGTTCTGCTCATTGTTACTTACACTATGAAGTTCTGTCTTTTCCTCCTTTGTCACTGATATGCTTTGATTGTACTCAAAAATAGCCTTAAAACAGCCAGGAAATGTGATTTGCATGATGAATACTGAATTTTCTAAGCTATAAGAAATATAATGGCTTTCTCCTTGTTAGATGTGGACTTTTAAAATATTCCGTTTTTTTGTGTTATAAGAATGGATCCACTGAAGCTGTACTAACTGACCAAAACAATACTACATTTAAATATTCAGAATACTGTTTTTTAGCTATTCCGGCATAATAGCAAATATATGCACATACATTTTAGAAAATGACCACGTTACAGTCTAATACAGGAAGAAGAAAAAAATCACCTTTCTCTAGATAAACAAGTGATTATCATCGACATGTTGGTCAGTAACACATCGAATGAAATAAAGAATTAATTTTACACCAAAGCACATAAAACGTCACACCTAAGTAACATGGCAGACATCATGCCACATTAAATCACAAGAGACTGCAAAGCCCGACTTTACAAAACAGAAAGCTTTTTTGGACGGCATGCTGTGTGGATTTTATGATGCTGAGGAAAATGTTAAGCATGACAATGAGATGTGATGGCCTACGCAGTGAAACAATTTTGAAGCTTAACAAGGAAAATGAGAAACAGCAATTTCATCAGGCGCAAATGCAAGAAAAGTCAAGTAAATGAAAGCAAATGGTGGTATCACTGTAGGGCAAACAAAGTGACTCAAACCATCAATGTTCACATCTAAAAATCACCCCTATATTGTCCCCTCACAATCACTGCAAAAGGACATATGGTGTGGTTGAATTCATCTTGTTTTATAATGGTTAAGTAGTTATATCACTGATGAATGTTAATCCTCCTCAGCGGTGAAAAATAAAGCCAATACCGAAGGTAGAAAGAGGAGGCAATAAAATTCTTATTAGAAGAGTCATGTCCGAAGCTTACTGCATGAATATAAATTCAGCCCTTTCTTAAGAGCAGTTTAACTCCCCTACTGGCACAATAAAATACACTGTGCACCCTACATCATTACAAGCAGCAGTTGGCTGCAAATCAGTACTGAGAAAGAGCAGTAGCCCAATTAAAACATAACCTAACAGTGTGGAACATAACCACCTCATTCACATCCTCGTCTGTGGCGCTGCCTCTGCAGTAAGTGAGCTGACAAGTATTGCTGTCATATCTGTGACAGGTGTTTGTTTAAGACAAAAGGACAATGAACAGCGGCGGATGCATGCGTGCACAACAGAAGACGCCGTAACAGAATCACTTCTCCGAGCAAACGCGAAGAACAATATGGTGATGGCTCCCTTGGGACTTATCATTTTTCCAGCCTATTGTTCCTCCCTTCCATGGAGAATTAGCCCCGCTCTTTGTTCTGACATGAATTGGATGTCAGTTCAAAGAGGATAAAAAAGCAGACATACTAACACAAACACATAAATATAAAGAACTGCTTCATTTACTGAGTGAACCCCGGATGAAAAGTCATGATTATGCATATTCTCAGTTTAGTTTCCTTCCTTGTCATTAAATGCTGAGCCTCAGAACCTTTGCAGTACATCACAGAAAACGGACAAGCATTTTAGTTAGTGAAGACATTCTTGCATCACATCACTACTGAGCCAGCCAGCATGCTGTAAATGAGTAGCCTTTTGTGTTTGGAGAAAACAGTGCTCTCTTTGCATTAGCATGCAACACTTGAAGTACGCCTGTTTCAGATGCTCTGCCTGCACTGCTGCCACAAAACATTAAATAACAAAGCATCTCATTGTTTTGGTTTTTAATTTAACACCTTTTTTTTTTTTAGCTTTTAATGTTGGAAACCTCTATTTGAGACTACAAATTTTAGACAGAGAAGGTCTTTTAATACAGATTTATCTCCTTACAAAGAAGAGACACACTTCAAACACTATAAAATGCTGATACCCAATCAACTACAAACTTGAATGTGCTTTTAGGTTTTATAATTACTCATATTTCCCTGCAACTTCCTTCTGTGTAGTTCAGGATATTTTCCAATAAATTCTGCTTGAAAGTCTGCAAGGAGCACAACATTTAATATGTATTCAAATAAGCAAAATATTCATTATGTAGATAATGTACAAAGCATGGATAAATAGTCCATTTACATTTTCAGTTATTAAACCGACACACTTATCTACAGCGACTTGAGCGAATGCATTCAAAGGGCTGAAGGAAACAAATACCAAATGTAAATTGATGAAAGTTTTCAAATAAATATATAAACACTTAACTTTAATAGCTGTATAAACAAAAACAAAACCATCCCCTGATGAGCTCCAATTTGAATTTGAAGCACAACTAAGCGGGAATACACCCACAAGACTTTTTGAACATACTCCTTTTATTCTGTCTTTTTCATGTACAATACTACAGTTCTCTATTGTGCGATACAGTAATCTTCCTCAATCCTCACATTGTGTTCCCCCTTACTCGCGCGCGGTTAACGAACAATGCTTTTGTGTGCCAACACTTTAGACTTTGAGTAGGGAGTTGTTCAGAATGAATTAGTCTCTCTTTACGTTAACCTTTAAAACCAAAGACCACAGTAGACTGGGAACAAATTCAAACAAAGCCAGACAAAGATTGTGAGAACACAATGAATAGCTGATCTAGCTCAGAATGCTTCAGCCTTCACATAGACCACCTTGGTTTCGTAGGGCATGCAGGTCATGTAATAGACACATCCTTTTAATAAGATCCATGTTGTCACAGTGATCCAGATGTGGCAGTTAGCAGGCAAAAATGCCACACGAATAAACATGGACATGGTTTTTTATGTTTTCAGAAATGTCGGCTTTGCAAAGATTCTCTAACAATCCGATACCTCAGGGTAAGACACTGTTTTGGAAGGTGGCATTCAACATAAACACAAGCCTCATCTGTTTAATCTGCTTCTTTAATAACCCTGTAAGACATGCTTTTTAAGGGTTTTCAGTGTACTCAAACTTTAAAGAAAACAATAAACATGTAGAAATGTCTTCCCATAATTGGTTTCTGAGGCTGTTTTTATTTCTTCAAAATAAGTATCTTTTTCTTATTACAATCAATCTGAGCATTGAACTATGAACAGTTATAGCTCCACTCAGATGAAAAGTAGTAAACTGAAGCACTATCTAATTGTTTAGCTGTGTTGTGTATTGTCATTGTCATACTGTGAAGCAAAGGTGATCAGAAGCCTTATTTGTATAAACTAAACTGCATTCGTTTTGCATAAAAATCTGATATGAGTAATGATTTTAAAAAAGAAAGAAAAAAAGAAATGAAAGCAGCAGATAAAGTAGGGAGCCGAGGAGCTGAAAACACATTAGAATAAACTGCTAATTAATTCTGTCCTTTCATCACCACCACAAATCTACATCTGTACCGGTTTTCTGACAAATACAAAAATCTCACATTATTAACAGAAAAATGCTTCCCTTTACATCCTTTTTCAATTCACCGTGTTCACCCCAAATGAATGTCATGTCATTTGTCACACTCATCCTAGATGAAATGCAGCTGTTGTGATGATTACAGATAGCGTGGCGGATGGACATCGGATGAACAAATAAAACAAGACAATTAAACAATTAGCAGCCGTTTCCCATTCATTGAAAGCCCACCATAGAAATGATTTCTCCTGCTCAGAATCACAACTACGAGGGAAAATCTAACCAGTATGCATCTACGTGATTCGGTAAGGCTGCTAATCATTTCTTTGAAGACGGCTGTGAACAGACACCACATATAAAAGCATACCATAGGCGGCACCCCAAAACACACTGCCACCATTGCGCAGGTGGCCATCACGACATGTGTCATGTCAACAACTACACAGTGCAAAATTTGTGGGTAATGCCTATTATAGCCCATTGTTTCCTATGTGTGTTGTTTATTTATTCTGCCCTGCACCTGTAGAGTCAATCTACACTGCTACAGTATAGCATGACTGTGGTCAAACTGTGGGATGTAAGCCTCAAGACCACAATACAAGCTGTCCTGTCATTGACAAAAGTGGAAGCTGATGGAAATTTATTCTACAAAGCAAAATTTTGCTCAACACTGGGTAATAGGACAGAAGTAAGAATCGTTACTAGATGGTGCATTCATGTACGCCAATCTGTGTAGGTACAAAAAAAAGGGGTGGGGGACCGTCATGATGTGCGTCATATGGTGGCAGTGTGTTTAGCACTTGTGAGTGAGGCTCCACTCAAAATATATTTTTAAATATCAAACAATCTGGTGGTTTGACAGGTGGCTGTGAAATCTTCTACTTTCACAGTGAACAGCTGCTGCAGTCTGCTCAGTTGCAAGGGACTCCAAAAGTGACCCGTTTTTACTGTTGAAAACATGCCCATTAAATCTCTTCCTGCAGTTCTATGATTATTCTGTTTCAGTCATGTTTTACCTTTGCTGCAGGGTGAAAATGTTTGATACCCAAAAGATAGACTTTAGGTGGAGCACTTTTACCCTCAAACTTTGAAGTGACACTGACATAAGTGTTAGACAATCTACAATCTGATGGAGATGACAGACAGACTGAACCGGGCTTGAATCCAAGCGACCTCATGCTGTGATTGAAAGTGTGAAATGATCAGGAAAAAGCGACACAGAAATGGCATTTCCCTTTTATTATCTTATTAACCAAATTTTCAACTGATCTCGTGAGATAAGCTCTGCGCACTTGCTATCCCGAGAACAGTTGAGGTTTTCAGGCAATATTTGGAAAGCATGCGGCAGTCAAATCAATTTCATGAACTCTGATGAGATCATTCCTTGGGGTTTTTCAAGAGGCAGCTGGGAAATTTTCAATAAAAAGGGATGATTTGATTTCAGTGGGAGTTTTTGTCATATCTGGAGGCAAATTTTACAACACTACTCCACTACATTTCTGTGCCACGCGGATTTTTCCTACCTGATAGATCCTGTTTAGATGTGCCTGTAGGAAAAAAATGTAGCGCATGTAATGGACTGGCTCAAGAATTTCTCTATGAGCTAGAAGCATTAGGCTCAAGCATTTTCCTCCTCATTACCTCCCAACTGTAGCAACACACCAAGGCCTTGGAGAGTCAGGCCAGGTGGGACATAGATGTATGAGAATACAAATCAAGTATTCACTGCTTTTGATGGTTTGCACATGGAGTAATGCAGAAGACCCCAGAGAACAAACTGGAGTATCAGGATGTAATGGAGGGTAAGAAGCTGGCTCTTGACCAGTGCAGAGCCAAAACAAATTTAAAAGATGGCAGCAGAGTATAGACAAATAACAATTTCATATAAATCAAAAAAACTTTTCAATCACTGGCATGAGAAGAATAATGGAAATAGTGATTGAAAGTGCTAAACAAACACTTGAACGTTCAAGTGCTCGTTCAAGCAAATACAATAGAAAACGGGCAAAGTTTAATTATCGTGACTTTTCTGGGAATGTTATAATTAGGTTTCTGTTGCTGATTTTCGTGGCATTTGAGAAATCTCAAGTCAAATCTGAATCTACTCCATATTACTGACTGACTATAATTGAGCTAATTACAGGAGATCCACTGGGCCATCTCAAAGGAACTGCTAATTTAGGGTAAATAATTAGCAGTGCATAAACCTTGTTGGGGGCATTCTGCAATGAAACTGCAAGCTGAGTCCCCCACCTGCAAGTAATCAATATACCACTTCAGTTTAGGTTAAAGATATTCAATTCCTCTCCTCGAGACACCGGTGTCCTGCAGGTTTGTGTTGCTCCCTTGTGGGTACGACCTAAGTGTGTCCCAATTTCACATCACCCACAATAAGGTATAGTAAAAAAACAATGTACTTTTTCCATTTTGTACACAGAGGAACAGATGCATTAAAAGATAAAGATAAAATTGCAAACTGTAAAGGAAATAGGTGTCTTCGGGCATTATCGTTTTTCTTATTAGTTTTATTCATCGCTAATTTTTTGTTATGTCATTTTCTCTTAATAACATAGGAAAAACTTTAAAAAAAATAGGGGTTAGAATATATTTATAGTATGCAACTGGGACACAGACTATATCAAACTACTTTGCACCAGGTGCAGTTCATTAACTCCAGAAGGAAAAATGCATACAGGCACTCACGGACCAGGATCGAGTGCCTAGGATACATAAGTATCTTGCTACTACTGTTCACTCGCCTCCCTGTAATCATTTTACCTGCTCTCCTTCTGTGAAGACATGACCTCCGTAGCTCCAGGTAATGGTGGGAGTTGGGTCCCCCGACGCCTCGCAAGTCAGGGTTACCTGTTCTTCCATCTCGGTAGCAGTCTGGTTTATGATGTATGTGATGTTAGGTTTGACTGTAAAACAAAAACCCAACGTCATCACACCTGCTCCATATAACAAGGCAGCCAGGTGTTACAGCCGCACGAGTATTATAAGCACAAGAGAAACTCTAGATTTGAAATGAGTTCAAAGAGGGGATGAGGATCAGTAGTTGACAGGTAAGGGGGATTTTTATGGCAGTAAACCTGTATTTAAGCTTTCCCAGTCCCAGCAGCAGTTACGCTGTGATAACCATGTGTGCCTCCAAACGTAATTTGTGTAATAACTTATTTAGCCTATCTCAAAGGAGCCGGCTTTCATTTTTGTTTACATTGGAGACAACTGTCAAGTTACACTACACTCGAGTTAACCTGAAAGCGCAGCGGGGTGCTGCAACGGTGACATGAGCCGAGCAAACGGAAGTGCTGTTTACGAATCAGTTGAGCATTACTTCGTGCTCCCATCTTTTCTATTCCGCTCCAAAAAGGATGAATGCATGGATTATGCAATATGCTGAAAAAGCGCAGCCCCAGACAGGATCGTAAATATAATTTGTAACCTGCCGCCTAAGAAAACAACTGCGACTTGGTTTTAACTGCTATGATCTCAACTGATAATTATTAAATGAACAAAGAAGCAGCGTTTAAGAACTTGTACTTACAGCCACGACTGTCAAAAGGCAGTCAGCACGATTCAGATCATAGCTTTTTAAATAGACTGCATGAGCTATTTAAAGCCTGATCCATTCCAATACTTTATCATAAAAACATTAGGTACATGGGTTTTACATTCAGAAATGTTAAGGAGCTATTTGCTAGGCTAATATCATTCTATGTATTCCAATTTCCAAAGGCTCATAAAACTGATTTTCTAAGATTCTTAGTTTAAGGTTTTATGTCACATAAAAGCATACCCTAAAGTTAGACTGGTTTTGGTAATTTAGTATAGGTACACTTCAGTTTTATATTAAACAGCTGATATAAAAAGGAGCCCAAGAAGGGTGTTGTTTTCGGGTGGAGAACATGGGTGAAAGGACAGGCTTGGGGCTCTGGTGGAATCAGTGCATAAGTAGCCATGACCAGTATCTGCCTGAAGACTAATGTTGAGAGTAGTTAGTAAATTGGATTGGGTAGCTTGCCCTCTATTGCTTGTATTTCACCCTTGCACCTGTTCTGGCACACGTATTAGTGTTCATCTGTGGATTTACAGCTTTACAAATAACATGTCTAGCATTTTAAAAGGACGGCTGATGCCAGGTGGATGAAAGAGAGACAGAGGCCAGCTTTTATAGGCTGTAAGACCCAGATTAGTTGTATTAGCTGATGACCCAGCCCCCAACCTCCCAAGGCTAGCGCAGTGGTTGAATAGTTAAAATAATTCATTTATATGCAATTGCTTTTCTTGACCTGGATGGAAAATGTCACAAGGTTGAGAAAAGATACGATAGAGAATTTAAGATGAAACTACACTATCTCTAAGATATAAACCAAAGAATGTCAGGTCAAAGTCAGCCTCATTGTCAAAAACCATATGTACAGATCATACACAGGAATTTGAAACTGCAGTGCTCCCACGCCTCTTAATGTTACACTAAAACAACATAAAAGATAAAAAGATGTATTGTTGCATCAACTTTTAATTTTTACCTTTATTAGCATTGCTGCATACTTTAAATAAAATTGACGAATGAGAATCCTAAGAGCTGGGAATACAGCAATTCCCAAAAGGAGGTTGTAAATTTACCTGTGCACACGTTTTTTAAAGAACTGAAAGAAATCTTTATACATGTTAGCAAGAAATGAATGAGATGGAAATCACAGTGCGATGATCTGTGCCATTTGTCAAGCAGGTTGTTTTTTGTGAACACTCAGTGTTTCAACATGATCTCATTTCTTTTCACTAAGGATGGTCTACTGTATCTTCAGCTAAGCACTGAAGCATCTGTCCTTAGTATATAGAGAACCTGACTAGTCCTCCTTGTGGCTAACACAATGCTTCCAGGGATCTACTCTAGAAGCCAGGTTTGGAAAAAACTGAGCCTGTTAACGAAGAGATGAGGGAAACGTTGGCTTTTCTGTTCTAGAAAAGAAAAAATCGACTGTGACCCAGTAACAGACACCATGAATCTAACCTGCTCACTGACAAGTTTTCTTCCACAAACTTTGAGATTCCCTCTGATTTCTCCCTCCCACTACATCTGAACCAGCTGACTGACACTTAATCTCATTTCCTCATTCAGTCACTTTTAAAGAGCATACCAGAACAGACTGCAGACCTGCAGTCTGTTCTTAGTATTTAGGGCATTTATCTTTTTACAAATATTTAAATCCCAGTTCATCAGTTCATTATTTTCTGTGTGTAAAATGCCCAGATTTATAATCGGTGATTTATTATCAGCTTAGAATAAAATCGATGGTTACATCTTTCAAACTCTGTGACTCTGTGGACATTAAGGCAGCTGTCAGGTTGTCAGTCAATTCCCCTGCACTAAAACATTTACTGTGTGTTACTGCAGCAATCATACTTTAAATAAACCGTATTTGTATAAAGCTTTAGACACATAATATACTGATCATTCATCAATCATTTGTCATAGTGTAATCTATCTCACTGATGAAAAGATGTCTGTCATAGAGATGATGTGAATATTTGAGTGAAAATGAGCCTGAAATGACTTTAACACTGAACTAAATGCAGTTTAAAGGAACATTTTAAAGGCTACTGACATACTGATTGTATTCTGATTACAATTCACGCTGAAATATGTTGACATGTTGAAATGCAGTCATTAAATTCTGTCAAGAAATATACTGAAGGGTACAAAGTCTGAACATAACTGACAAATTTATCACTAAAAGCACACTTAGTGTGTGTAACTAATATCCGATCCACAAGAAAACAAATTCTTATCTGTTTGATTCATATGTTTGTCGTCAATTTCTGCCACCTGCTTTTGTCCCCGTCAGGTTACGGCTGAATAATTAGATTTACTAGATAATTAATTTCTGATGTAAATACTGGGTTGGATTCCAGCTTCATCTAATAAAAAATCAAGTTATTTAAGTTCAAGCTAATTAAAATGACTTTTTTTTTTTTGTCCCCCACCTGTTTTTCTGTTTTTGTTTTTTTTAAGATGAATGGCACGGTCTACATTGAAACACATTCATAATTCTTGGCCCAGTGGATTAAAATGGAGGCTCTGCTCTTTGTTTACCCATTGTAAATGGTAAATCTTGGTATTGAAGCATCACTGACGATGGCTTACTAAAATATACTCACAACTGATTGAACTGAGTTTTCAGTTCCAGACACATTAGTAAATACATTGTTTTGATGGATCACCCAGGTGAGGAAGACTGTTTACCTGGACGTTCTCCCACTGAAAACGCTACGTCCAGATGAACAAATCAACTTTTTGGGGTTACTACATACAACTTCCTCCAAGAAAGATCCTGTGCCACCACAGAAAACGCAGGATTGTAGCTTTTGCTAAACGGAAGTAAAGAAACCAGAGCTTTGTGGAAATATTTCACAAAATAATGTCTTAAATGATGGCAACATACAACAGTCATTTACTAACTCTAAAGAATCGAGCTATTGCCACTTCTCTTGATTTGAAAAATAAACTCCCTCGGCTAGTTCACTGATAAGGTACCAAAAGACTGGCACTGATACTATAATTGGGCTTTAAATTATGGTCACTTTGAAGTGACAAGAAAACCTAGTGGGCAAAAACAAAGGGGGAAAAAAGGAGTTTAGAGATTTCAGCTGAGCTCATCCCACTTGGCTTGCTCTCTAAATCCTTAGGCTCCATCCCAACATGAAACAATCACAACCCACACCGACACACCGTATTTTGAATGCCTAAGAAAACAGACACAAAACCGTACTATTGTTCTTCTCCCACCTACATACACATATACCTCATTCCCACACACTTGGAGCATTTTATAATTCCACTTTCGTTCATGTAAATACACAAAACAATCTGTCTTACCAAACACTTTCAGACTGAGTTCCTTTTCAGTTTCTCCAGCCTTGTTCTTGGCAATGCAGGTGTACTCTCCTTCATCCAGTTTGGTAACATCCATTATCGTCATTTCTGAGCCATCTTCATTAAAGCTGTACTTCTCTCCTGCCTCAAGGTTCACTTCGTTCCTGTAGAAAAGGCGAGTGTTAAACCCTGTATCCATTTATCCACACAAATTTAAGCACTCTTCTTCAGCTGCAACATTTTCAGAGATTTACTTTTACCAGGATTTCAAATTTCATCATCCTTCCATCTAAAGAAAATCTAGTTATGTACATCTATAGACAGACCAATAGTAGTTTCATGATCACCAAATTACAAAGTGAAATTCCAACGTTAAAAAAAGCATAATATTGTTTGCCATTCTTTGGCACTCCTTTTGACATTTGTTGTTTACATTCAATTCTACAAAAACATCTCATTTATTTTTATTCCAGCCTCGTAGAGTATAAATTATTTTTAAAAAAAGGCCAACTTTTGGCTCTTGAATTGTCTGCTCTTTGTGACCCTGGATCTAAGTTTTGTGCCGAGTTAACAGATGAACAGGAACAGTTTAACAAAGCAGAAGCCTATCAATGGCTCTGAATGGAGCCATTGATAGGCACAGAATAATGTGGCTATTGTTGTCATGCTAGTCTTCATGTTTCACTGTTTACATGCTCCTTTGATGTCCTGTGATTAAGTATCCTACTGCAATGAATAAATCAGTTAGTGGAGTATCCCAAATAACCTAGAGTGCCCTGCATGCACATAATAGTTACTTTGCCCTGTAGGCTGGTCTGAGGTAGTGCATAGAGCCAGTAGCATTCCTGTCACATTACTGTATAGATATTTTCATGGAGACTGGGTTTGACTATTCAGATAACTGCATGCTAAAGTCTTTAGACAAGTACTGGATGGGAAACTTAATCCAATAAAGCATTATCATATAGCTTTTCTCTGAAAGCAAGGCACCCAGCAGCCTATATTTAGTGGGCTATTCGAACTACAGGTTAGTGATAGGGGAAGGGTTGAATAGTGTGCAGTTGCCACTTCTAACGCATTATACAAATTATACTGGAAATTAGTCATTTTTGTTAAAAAAGATCAATGGAAAAAAATATGTTCACTTATTTTCAAGATGATACAAGCTGATATTTGGTCAGTACACATACAAACTATGCAGCTCATTATTTTTGATTAGCCCTGCCTCATTAGTCTGTTGCTGCCAGCTTTTATCTCTCCTGACGCCACGTGTAAGTCATTTGTGGTGTTTACAACAATTGCCTTTACAGAGCCGACACCCGCGATTTTAACGAAATGGTTCTATGAATTGAAATGTTGGTCTGGCAGTTGGTTATTCCCGCATTCACTGCAGTTCAGACAGAAATATGTATTTGATTGCTGTTAAAAATTTACTTTTGTTCAGAATGAAATGCGTCAATAATTATTAAAAGAATTACCATAGAAATCTTTTTACATGCACGTATGTAACCCCCCCAGAATTAACCGGAATAACTTGCTACATGTAAAACTGATGACACTTCCATAATTATCAACTTTGCTTTTTGTTTAATGTTTATTAGCTGATGTTAGCACAGCATCCAAGGGTGCCGATGTGGACATTTGTCAGCATTTTGCTCAAAAATCTGATGTAGCTGCTCATGCTATTAGGTAAGTTCGGCAGTTATATAAAATTAAACTCGATTAACTGATTTGTTTAAACTTTAACAGGGTTTAAATTAACTAACTAACTAACTTAAGAAAATAAGTGATCTTTACAAGTCATCCTACACTTGCCTGCCACTTTGTTAGGTACATCTGTTCAACTGTTCATTAGTACAACTATCCAAATAGTCAATCACTTGGCTCCAGCGCACTACATTTAAGCATACAGACTTCAACAAGATTAAACAACTTAAACTGAACTCAGAATGGTGAAGAAAGGTGATTTAAGTGACTCCAAATGTGGCACGGTTGTTGGTATTAACCAGGCTGGTGTGACTATTTCAGAAACTGCTGATCTAGGATTTTCCCCCTCAACCAACTCTAGGGTTTACAAACAATGCTCCGAAAAAAAGAAAATATCCAGTGAGTGGGAGTTCGTTGGGCGAAAGTGCCTTGTTGACGCCAGAGAAGAATGGTCGGACTGCTTCAAGCTGACAGAAAGGTAAGAGTAATCCAATTAAAAAGACAGAGGCAATAAATGCAGCAAGTGATGAGCCACAGCAGCAGAAGGCCGCACCGGGTGTCACTCCGGCCAGCTAAGAACAGGACACTAGAATAGAAGATTGCCAAAATGTCGACTGGTCTGATGAGCCTTATTTATTGCTTCAGCATTAAGATGGTAGAGCCACAAATTGATGTAAACAACACAAAACATGAATCCTTCCTGAAATGTTTAGGCTGATGGTGATGATCTAATAGATGTGGGTAATATTTACTTGGCTGCTTAGTACCAGATGAGTATTATTTAAAAACCTCAAACTACCTGAATAGCTGACAATGTCCATCCCTTTATGACCACAGTGTACCCAACCTCTAATATCTGCTTCCTACAGAATAACACCATGTCACAAAGCTCTGATTATCTCACACTGTTGTTGTTGGGTTTTTTGAAAATGACAATGAGTTCACTGTGCCAAAATGTCCTCTAGAATTTAATTCAACAGAACACCTTCAGGATGTGATGGAATGAGAGATTCACATCATAAATGTACAGCTGACACAATTTGCAGCAACTGTGTGACCCCATCATGTCAGTATGGACCAAAACTGAGCTCTGAAGGCAAAAAGTGATCTACGAGTATAAACCACATCAATGTACAAAGATGCAAATGCTAAAAAACAACAATGATAATAACAAAAAGGTATTTACTGTACTTGGAGCATATGCAACCGAAGATATTTTATTATTAGGTTTACCTTGTCCAGGTCACCATGGGTTCAGGATAACCATCAACAGCACAAGTCAGGATAGCCGGCTGCAAAACGTCTGCTGTAGCATTTACCTCTGACTGCCATATCCTGATTGTCGGGAGCACTAAGGTACAAAGGGAAAAATAAAATAGGCAGACACATATGCAGAATATAGTATAGCTCTAGATATAAAGAGTGCAAGTGCAAGAGAGAGCAAGTGAGAGGAAAACCAGAAACAGAAGCAGCGACAAATTCAAAATACTTATTTTAGACACACTCATTTGCTAGGCTCAGAAGTTACAGGAAACAGACTTCATTAGCATGAAACATCTTTGATACACGGTTGCTCTGGGCAACTGTTTCCACATTGATGTTGAGCCTGGTCGCCTCTAAGGATCTACAGCTTATTTAAGCATCACGGGACACCTGCCACACACAAAATATTCAGACAAGAACAAAAAGGAAGAGGAAAAAGCGTGAGGGGACGAGAGGGTCGCTAACCATTCACAACGACCTTGATGACACGCAGATCAATCTCGCCGCGCGCCATCAGGCGACCCTCGCAGGTATACAAGCCCTCATCCGTCTTCTTTATGCCACGGATTTGAAGGTGATTGTTGTTCAGTACTTTAAACCGAACTGGAAGGAAGCAAAAGGTAATACATCTTCAGGTATGCATATTTGGCAAGTTAATAACAGCAGTAAATGCTACATGATAAACAGCTGTTAGCAAAGAAGTGAGTAAGGCATCAAAAAAGAAAACTATCTGAATCAACTAAGCTATAAAGACTTTGTTTAACTTAAACATTTTAACACTAACATCTTAGTCACTGAAATGTTTGGTGACAAAAACTGGAATGTCATTTTATTGCTCATTTGATATTACCTTAACTATCAAATTTGAGGCCATATATCCAACAATCATTTTACGAGCTCCAGAAAAACAGAAGAGAATCTAAGCAAAGCCCACATGAACTCCTTCAGTCTGGGATAAAATGTGAACCGAATAAATGTAGTCACATAATAATCAAAAATACTATTGCAACCCACACATAAGCGCATGTTATTATTTTTCAGTGAGCAATAACATTGCCGTACACATTATTATACTGCTCAGTGTCAAGGGTGAATAACAGAGAGTCAATTGTATTTTCAAATTCAAAATCAAATTAATTTTTCCCTTTCAAAGCACAGGGTGAATCCCGGAGAAGAATGGCAACAAAAGCAGTGGATGACTCATTTTATGACTCAAACACCAGGATCTGTATATGCATATATATATATATATATTATTAAATATTTCGTTGGCTGTGTGTTTTTGTTTATGTAGTGCATTTTTACTACAGTTTCCATTTTGCCTTATAATCTGTTTTTGTTTTATTTTGGCTGTTAACATAAATGCAACACTACAATATCACCGAGTTACATCTTGATAATGTTGCGGACATCTCACATTTTGATTCACCAAACTGCAGCCATCAACATAATCTCGTGGCTAACAAACAAAATAAACAATAAAAAAGCAAGCTATAACATCCTGAGAAGTAATGGTCAGTATGGCTGAAATCATCTTATTCCCTCCTCATTAATTCTGAAATTTGTTCACCTTGTTGTTCTGTGTTATAATCAACTGAAAACAAACTGAAATATAAATTCTGCATTGTTCATAAACTTACCATCTTTTTCCATCTGTATTTTCGCTCCTTTATATTTCCAGAGGACAGTGGGTGGAGGTGAACTAACAACATCACAAACAATGTTGGCATTGTCTCCTTCAGTAAACTCTTGGGGTGAGGGTGCGTTTTGAAAGGTGATTTTTTCTGGAATAAAAAAAGAAAAGCACTATATTCACTCAGTGACATAACGAGGTTCATTAAAGCTCTTTCACTCTCTATGATTGCCCTGCTATGGCACTATGTTTTAGTAAAACACTATCTTTAAAAGTAGTGCTGTCTATGCTAATAAATCCCAACTGAAAATGATCAAACTGAAGGAATGCTTAACATTTTTTACCAAAAATCTCATTCATTTTATTATCACCCTAAACAAGCTCCCCTGGCTCAAGTTACCAGAACTGAAGCAATATCTAGCCAAGCCGTTTCTAAAATTGACTGGTTAATGGAATTTGCTGGAAGCTTTTTAGAAAGAAGCAGAACTGCTACCTGACAGACTTCAGCAGGACACAAGTGACAGAATTGGATTCCGAACTGGAAAGCTATAGAGCTATCTCATCAAGGCTTAACATATGAAGCCATTTAGCTGTAATGCGCAGCTCATTTCTTGAAATGGTCGGTAAAAGTTTAAATGTAAAGTCTGCTCCTGTTAAACTGGCCGTCTGCATGGGGCAAAAGCAGTTATAGGTTATCTCTTATATGGCTTGCAAGCTGTAGCACTGAACTAACTATGCAAACTGCTGCTGGTACTGTACAAATGTTCATTCACAGGAAGTTGTGATGTTTTGTACACTTCTGTGCACAACATTGTGTATTGCTGTTAATATGGGTGACCACTTCTAATAACATCCTGAAACAGGCCCTGAAATAACAGAAAAGTTCTGTTTGGAAAATAATTTCATCTCTGATGGACAATTGCTGATGCTTGGCATTCATGGAAAATAAAATCCATTACTCACAAGAACTGCACAACAGACAGGATCATTAAGCAGCCTTCTAATGGTCTTCCGACCGTTTATTGAACTGATGAAAAATCCATCCTCACTTGAAAAGAAAGAATAATGTGTTGCCCTTGAGCAGTCAATAAAATACTATGAGTTCAATGAGCAGGATTCTTTTTCTTCTGTGTTCACACCACTCAGTAATTTGGAGTGTGTACCGTATACTGTGGGGTGGGGCGGTGGGGGGAAACTTACGGAAGATCTTCACTTTGACTGTCGACTCCGCTTGCTGGTCTCCATTGGTAGCGACACACTTGTATGTCCCAGCACTTTCCGTCCCGGCTTTATACAGCGTGAGGGTGGAAGATGACTCATCGTTACGGGTTACTGTTGTGTCTTGTCTGTTCGGCTCTATCCTGTCCCCGCTTGGTCCAAACCAGTCTATGTGCTTGGCAACGCCTACAACTAAGACAACAGACAGAACAGAGCAGTACATAAGAAACAGGTATCTATAGGGTAACACATTTCAAATCAGAGAAGTCAGCCACTGCCCACAGACTGTACATTGTAGGTGGTTCATGCTCCTGCAAGGAATGAAGCGTGTGGTTTATGCATTTTAGCTGTGTCTAGTAACTAAGACATCAGAAAATGTTATATGTTTTCAAGGTTTGATGCTAAAAAAACAAACCAAAAACAAAAGGACACTTAATCTCATCATTCATTGATGACTGATTGATGAATGTATGATACACATTCAAGTAACCGGAAAACCACTTAACATAAAATATGAAGGGGGGTGTAGTTGTCCACTTTAATCCTGCAGAAGAGGAAGTGTGGCTGATCAAGCAATACTGTGTATTCGTACCACAAACATCCATGCATATTTATCCATACACCTAACACATGGATAAATATGAACTGATTCCAACAGAAACACAGACCTCTGCTATGTTTTGTCTAGTTTAACCACTTTAAACTCATTTTTTGCAAAACAGTCTAAAAAGTGGGTGAACTGTTAAGGTGCAGTTTATTAAAAAAGTTTAAAATATATATAACTTGGAACATTTTGATAAACTTACCTTCACACACAAAGAATTTGGACTCTCCAAGACTAATCTCACCGTGGGTTGGTGTGATCTGTACTTCCAATGAAACTGCAGCAGAAAAACAAACATACAATACAAAATTAGAATCAACCCACTAAGTGAAGCGCTGATTAAGAATGCTTAACAATGTTTCAACACTGAGATGGAACAATTATTAAAACAGGAAACAGGCTAATTAGATGCGCAAATGTCTGCATATCAATGTGTTCCATCTATATGCAAAGGCAAAAGCAATCACCTGCAGGCAATCAGAAATACGACTGTGGGGTTCTTTAAAAATATATTTTAAGGTCTTCGATTTGCTCATGTTAAGAGCAGCACTTGAGTGTATATCTTACTTCCTCCAGAACCGAGAGTGTACCTTCAATAGCACTTTTAATTTCTACTGGAAAGGATCCAAAGACTTGCTAGAGCCAGCATCTATCTACACTTTACTGCACTTTAAGGAATATGCTTCAGTTTTCTGCCACATAAACCTGATATTATCTTTGTACATTCGTCCATATTTTTTTTTACCGAAACTTAAAATGCAGTACAAACAATAAAATCAATCAACATGCACATTCAGAAAACAACAACAATGCCAATTTTGGCCCTAGCAGACATGTCACCAAAAATATGGACATTTCCTATGCCTCTGTTTCCTACAGTCCTCCTGTCCTATCAAGAGAAATAACATCAACACAGCAATGCAAATATTCCGCTAAAATTCAGCAGCTGGAACCAGTGCTGTGCTCCCAGTGTACCTTGAGACGAATTATTTTTAAAAGACTATTTAATTTTTAGAAATGACATCGTCTGGCAAGATGAATGTAATGCCTCTCAGTGATAGCCTGCACTTCATCAAAGATTGTCAGATAATACAAATCTCTTTTTCATCCAAAGAGAATGATGCCTTGAAACATTTTGTACTTAATTAGAACAAAGTGTGACTTGCTTCCTGCAGAACCTCCCAAGGGGGCACTCAGGGTTCCAGTGGATGATTAAGAATGGTGTCGAGATTGACCTGAAGTCCCACTCTATATCATGCATGAGCAATACTGTGTGGCTGTGTACCAAACTAAAGGTCAAGGCAAGAAGGTCTCCATAGGGACATCGATTGACACGGGAAAATAGCACAGTTAGTTAATAATGTAAGTTAATGTCTGGAGCTGGCAGAATTATTTCTATATTGTCAACTTGTGGAGCAAACAGGTAATAACTGATTTTATTTTAGTCAATTTGTTTCAAGTCTTCCCACAAAAGTGACACATCCCATCAAATGTGAAGTACAGTTCAAGGTTAAAGAGTTAAAGGTTAAAGAGATTAAACAAAACCCAACAATATTGTTGTATTATGTTCAATTTTCTCACGTTCAAATGTGATATTCACCAAACGGCCGTTGTATCTGCAACAGAATTCTGTTTGAGGCACCAAATACAGAAGGAAGAACTCCTTAAATATTACAGACATGTAGCTTATCAGATGCACCTACGCATACAAGTGTCTATTATCTACATACGCATATATACATACACATATATACATATATATATACATATATATATATATATACATATATATATACACATATACATACATATATATATATATATATACATACATACATACATACATACATACATACATAC